GAAAAATTGAAAAATTCTCTATATAATCGACAGTCACTAAATAATCGTAATCAATAGCATGTGATCGATTCTCAGCACTTTGCAAGTCGAGTTGTTCGATATGTATTATGATCTGACAATCCTAGTACTGAAGTTTGCGTTCATAAATCTCCCGAGTAAATTTTCATGCGTTGGAGTTTTGTCTTTTTATTGTTATTATTATTAGTTTAGTGGGATAAATAAACGCACTTGAGATTTGGACCTATAACCATTGAGTTTTTAGTCAAGATTGTTTATCTACTCGGCCACTGAGTCGGTCAATCTATTTATTTTCACATTTTCTGCCGAAAATTTATTTTAGCTTAACTCGACAAACTAACTAGTAAACACTTCCGGGCCTTTTCGATGATTTTGGAATCAAGGCTGACTTAAACGCCCCATGCAGATTGATTTATTTCCCCTTTTATTGACGAAGATTCGTACAAAGTCGCCTCATAACACTGGCTCCTTTATGCTTCTTAGCGTTTTGTGGAATGCGAGAAATAAATTTAAAGACGCCCATCCAAAATTCGCTTAACGGCAACAACGGTCAAGCAATGCGGTGAAGAGCGTGCGATTTTTGATAAAATATCATAAGGTGTTTTAGGCATTACTTTGACTAGCAGGCGCTTACGTTATCTGCAGATTTATCTATAAAAAAGTTGAATGCTGCCATCAGTAATTTAACGATTGCTTAAAGAAAAGAGAAGTTAGCTGTTTACTGTATAAATTGTAAAAAAAATCTATCACTAACTATCGTTCGAAAATATTCCGCAGCCTCTGCAGCTATAACACGATTCGAAAATGCCCGATGAATTGTTCAAGCTATATCGGCCCGTCCTTGCGTTTGCGTAATGTTTATTGTTGATACTCTCCTGGTCGCAAAATTGACGATATCGACTTTAAATTTGTGAAATAATTGGAAGCTTTCGCGTGCAGATTGGTATTTAAAATTGTGTAAATTGGTCAGAGGCGAAGCCCGCAATGGAGCATAAACTGTATGAGTGTGGTGATTTTTTGCTTGTTACTTAGAAAATATAAGAGTTAGAAGACTCAAATTTTCCACGTTTACTTTTCGACACATTATGCACTTTACATGCTAAAATTTGAAAAGTTCGGCCATGCCCACACAAAGTTACAAGTGAATAAATTTTATTTCTTTCACTATTTTAAGGTTTTATGCTTATTTATCATCAGGCAAACGAGACAGAATGTTTAAAATTATTTTGTACATTTCTCCAGTGAAGATATATTATCTGACCAAAAATCGGTTAATTCTCAAATGAATATGGTAGACCTGGTGGATTAATTTTTTCTTAATAATACCAGCGATGTAGGTATTAAATAAAAGAAGCTGCCATTCTGCTATTGTATCTCTTCAATCGAGTCGCAATGTTGTTCCCGAACTGGTCTTTTCAGTTATATCGAAGTTAAATTCGATCTAATCAAATCTTTTAGTTCCTCAATCGCTTTGAACAGTACGCAGCGTAATCTATCCGATATAAACGTTGTACTCTCTGTCTCTCTCTCACTTTGCCCTTCTAATGAAAGAAGAGTTAAAAAAAACGAAAATTCATGTATAGCTTTCTAATGAACTTTTTTTTCTGTGGAGACAGAGACTTATTTCGGAGTAAGTTCGCGAAATCCATTTACTTTGCCGATAACTTTTGTCGATGATAGATAACTAAAATTCGCTTTGTATTGTACATAGCTTACTTAGCCCTCCGTTTCTTTTTTTGCTTATTTTTTGTGCCATTCAATTGTCATGAAATCGTTGGAAGCTACTTACATATGAGAGCTGAAGTAAGATGAAAATACCAAAAACCTGTGTATGAATGCGGCCAACTATGTCAGACACTGATTGATAATATCGAACATGTTGTAAATTATACGATTTTTAGTGACTTTTTCTTTCTTCTTTCTTTACCCGTTGTTTTATACTTATTTGGTGATTTGTTAAAAAAAAATTTGCGTAGACAATCCATTCAAATGGCTACACACTTGGAACACTGTTGCGCTTTAAATTTGTTGTCATACTCAAATCCAAAACCACAGGAGAGCTCTTATTGACTCAATAATAAATTTTGTTATCGACAGTTTTATGGGCACCTCAGAGAGAGGTTTTCCTATTGTCTTTCACATTCGTTTCAATCTATATACCCATCTGTCTGTCTGTCTATATGTCTGCCTGCCAAGACAAGGCAATGTAAAGCATAAACCACGTGCCATAAAAGTATCGGTAGCACTCTCAGCTTGTAGCAACAGTAGTAGTAATAGTAATAGTAGTAGTAGCAAGAGCAGCAGTAGTGGCAGTAATATTACTTCACACATGCAACCAGGTACTACTGTACGTATTATATATCTGCGTTAGGCCTTGTTAGCATGTGTCTGTTCTTATGTCAACCAAGTTTTTGGGAGAAGTGAAAAGTGCAGATAGTCTAGTCTGGCTAATAGTTGGTCGCATTTGTGCAGTAGCAGTAGCACTAACATTTTCAATTACGTATAAATATAATTCATAGCCTGGTTAGTGTTCAAACGTATCAACTGTCGGCAATTTTTGCCAAAAATTGTCATTTTTAATTTACTAAAATCAACTACTACTGCCTGTAATTGTCTACAGATTGTTAAACAAATTGTCTAAAATTAATTGTTGCAAACTACAAAGGAAAGCACAAAAATCAATTTCGCTATATATTTATACTTTTCGCACATTGTAAACCAATGTTTAGATTTGTAGTTTACAATTTTTGAAGTCGCAAAGTATTAGTTTGATCGGTTTTAGCCTGCTCACAGAATCAAGGAGAAGCAAAAAAAAAAGAAAGTATGACAATATTTAGAAAGCCATGACTGAAAATACCTTAGTTTGCGTTGAAGTTGCCGTATTGGCTTTTCATGGGCTGATAAAAAATATTTTAAATCAAATATCGCAATGGTCTGCCTGTTCAGTGAAAAATATTATTCGATATTACTTTTTTAATTATAAAGAGGCTTTTATGCAATACATTTCATTCATTTGATTTAATTTATAATTTTCACGAATTAGGCAATTTCTAAACCCAACAAAGCATTGACCAACGAAGCTAATTAGGAATATTGTGGATGCTGAGCACGTACGGGGAATCTTTCGGGGGTTCTTATCTTGATTATACTCGATCACCTAGTCTGATTGCACGGTTACGACGTTTTTAGTACGGCGAACTATGAGAAAAATCTATGTAAAGTAGTCTTTTCTTAATCCCAGCAATTTTGAAGGGTCTTTCCGGGCCACTTTCAGATTCGTCTCCCTTGAAGCGGTTTCAACAAAATCAATTTGCCCAATACCTAATGACGACCGTAAACGTCGTCAAGTCTCTCTCTTTTTCCTTTCCTTTTCTTTATTTTTCTTTTTATAAACCACTTTTCGTAAACAATTAACATTTAGATACAATGAGACTTTAAAAGCAGGGAGGTTTCCGCGGAATACCACAAACTTTTTGATTGCACTCAGCAGTTGCTATCATCGTAGGACCTATTCCTGTGTTCTTTAATCGAAAAAAAGCAACTAAGCAATGTGTTTGGTCACTAAGGTATCTTAGATCCCATATAAAGGCAACGTAACTAAATCCGTTTTTTCCAAAGAGCTTTCAACCTTATTATGTTTGCAAGACGTAACGGTACAGATTTATTTTAATCAGAACCAGAAGCTTAAAAAGCTTTTCTTGAATATAAAGTTTTCATTCAGGTTCCGCACCCGGAGACGTGATTTGTCGTCCGAGAAAAGGGAAAATAGGTTTAGCTCATGCTTTAGTTATGAAAATGTTAATCATAGAAGTTTATCCCAACCAAACCGTCAAACGGCAAACAATGCGTGCAAATCTGCTACAAAGTAAACAAATTTAACTTTCTAACCAGACAATAACACAATCTGCAATAATATATGAGTATTGTTGACATTTTGCATCCAACCCCAAAAGAAAGGACGAACAACCCAGAAAAAGAATGAACGGAAATGAATGCATTGAATTTTTTATAAAGTATATACGATGCCTAACACCAGCACATATTCTACAAACACCCACACGCACATACGCATACATCCTGTCGTGTATATACAATGGTAGCAAAATTAATGACACGACCGCGTAGCAAAAACACAATAGTGGTCTGTGCTTTAAACAAATAGAAAAACCAAATTTGTCGCTGTATAGACAAACGGACAGCCAGATAGACAGACAAGCCAAAAGGCTGGCAAACGGTACATATATACATATTTTAATATATATATATATAGGCATATACCTATGTGCACAAACCAAATAATAGTAGGACTTACTATAACTTACAAGCCACCCGTACCTCTAACCATGGATATGTTACTCATCAGCATGTCTGATGCGTATGCTTGCGTTTTCATATATAACATTTGTGACTTTGCTTGGTTGCTGTTTTTGTTTTTGCTATTGTTGCTGTTGCTGTTACTGTTATATTACTTGATTATCTCCGAGGGTGACCGTGAGTGCAACGTTTGTGAAGACTTCATGGTGAACCGCAATTGGTCACACAATTCAATTGACAAACAACGGGAGTTATGGGCTTAACTTTTAGTATTTTATCCGCTAGGTTACTGTTAGGCTTTAATGTTTCTTGTTATTGCTGTCCGTTGTCTCTGGGTTGTTTTTATTGTTATTATTGTTGCTATTGCTGTTGCTGTTGTGGTTATTACAGTAGCGAACAAATAGCCAATAGAGCAAGTAATATGAGCTCAAGCACTCAACCATGATTTATGTTGCAAATAATTGAGTTGTTATCGAAAGAAATGCAAAAAAAAAGGAAAAATACATGGAACAAAAGTTATCAAAGCAATAACAATAACAATACATACTTATTTGTTTTTGTATGTACAATATCTAGTGTGCACGCAGTAGGAGACGACATGTAAATTATGAGTTTTTTTTAAAGAAAAATTATTAATAAAATTATGTTTTTTTATTTTTTACTTTTAGGTTAATGGTGGCAGTTTAGCTGAACAGGCCGGTTTAATGCCCGGCGATTCTGTTGTTAAGATTAATGATGTCGATGTTTTCAACTTACGCCACAAGGAAGCCCAAGATGTTGTAGTACGCTCTGGCAATAATTTCGTGATGACAGTTCAAAGGTGAGCAAGCCACTTTTTGTCCGTCTTAAAACATCAAATTCAAAAATTATTATAAATACATTTTCTTTATTTATGAACAGAGGTGGCTCAACTTGGCGTCCTCAGATTACACCCACCGGTCAATTACCTCAACCTAATTCCCCTTATTTGCAAACAGTGACGAAAACTTCTCTTGCTCACAAACAATTAGAATCCCAACACGTTGGTTGTGGCTACAACAACGCAGCCAAGCCTTTCGTAAGTATCTTATCTACCAAAGAAGAAAAAAAAGGAAAGCAAGTAAATTTTTTCACATTCAATCCTTCTGACGAAAATTCTTCCTTAAATATTCTATTGCTTCGAACAAGTTTTAAAAATTCCCCATGGCTCTAACCAAGTTATTTATCTTAGAGTCTTGAGTGTGTTCGCTTAGTGTGCCTTATTTATTTGCTTTCTTATTTTTTAGGAGGGCTAAAAAGAAGAATAGCTTTATTGTAGTATTGTAGCCCAAATAATTCCATCATTCGTTTACTTTTAGAAAAATAATACGGTCAACGTATGTTCTACGGCTGAACAGTATGTTCAACTGCTGGAACTGCCCATACGTAATGGGCGGTTTAGTTGATTGTCCTAGATTTTAAGAAATTTGGACGATTCTTATTTTCGATTTTTTGCCCCGTAAGAATACTTTTTTTTAGATACAAATAAATAAATCCTTATGCAATGAAGCACTATCCTGCTATTTGATCGCAATACAGCTTCCATGTAAATAATCCGACGCGTATGAATTGTGTACTTTACGTGTCAACACTTGTATGTTATAGATCAGTGTGTTATAGGCTTCGGTTAAATGTGAGATTACTTAGACTTCGAAGGAGGACAAGTCATTGGTTCTCGATTAGCACAAGCGTCTGTGATGACAGTCCCTGAACTGTTTAACGTTTCATAAGTACAGTGGACGGCATCCTTGGTAATGAAAGCAACGTTTACATTGGTTCCAACAAGCGATCGGGCGGTACGGAGAGTTCTTAAAAAAGTCTATGATCCAGACTGCGTACTTATTACGGCCAAGCATTGGGCAGACTATACGGTGCGATCCAGTTGCTTTTTTCATGCCAATTTCAGTATTGTACGACGATATTCTTACTATGTTTAGCATATTGCTGCCAAAAACTGCCTTATTCCAAGATGAGAGTACGCCCATTCATGCAGCCAAAAAGTTCAACCTTGGTTTAAAGCGCATAAGAATATCATCAAATAGCTTCCCTGGCCAGCACGGGCGACGGGAAAATTTCCGTCTCAAACATCATTCCGGCAATTGGGACATGTTTTGATACAAAAATAGGACAATATTACATTGAGAACTATACACCCACTTTACGAATCCATTCCGCAAATTATTTCATCTGCTCTACAAGAAAATAATAGCCTAAAATGCAAATAAATGTTGCATATATGTCAGGTATAATATGTTTTCCTGCTAGCCTTTCCTTCACTAGAGACATAGTCCCGTCCTTATCTGAAATGTCTAAATATCTGCTTAAAAAACTACTGAACTATTCTTTCGTGTGTCTCGCAGACTTCTATATATCCCTTTATTCTACTGAAGAAACCGGTGTCAGTTATACCACCAAAGCTATCGTGTAGTAAAAATTCGTGTTTATTTTGCGAGCCTACCAACTTATATTATCAGGTAACTCCGTATGTCAACAGCGTAATACTTTTTAAACTAAGTACATTACAACATAATATTTTAAGGAATATCCGCCTGAGTAGCCGAAGGGGAGGAATCTCGACTAGCAAGTTAATGGTCGTGGGTTCGAATCTCAAGTGCGGTAGAGTTTTTAATAAAAAGCCGATAGCCTTAGATGCTAGTGCTTTTAAGAGTTTAGTCTTAGAATTTATTTCTCTGGCGAAATTAATAATAATAATAATAATAATAATAATTTTAAGGAATACATTAGAAAGAAACAAAAATTATTGTGTTTCACAAAAATAAAAAATTCGCTTAGGCCTAAAATCAACCAAACAAATAAATAAATAAATTTTTTAGAATTAAATTCTCAACAATTTCTTGCCTAAATTATCTTCTAGTAGTAATATATATACGTATGTACATATATGCATGCATGTTTGTTTGCATACATGTCATGATTTTTGACATTTGCCTTCATTGTCGTTATGCTGTTGATTGTATCAAAATTTGTCAAATTTTTTTCGAAGTCCTATTTCTTTTCATCATAACCTCAAAATTTACCACAAAAACAAAGTCTAAATAGATTACAAACCACATGTACATAACAACTTATATATACATCAATATATGTAAGCTTATATATAAAGTATGCATGCAAATGTGTGCACATATGTACATGAATTGTATTTGTTAGCACTCAACGAAAAGCAGAAAGAATACTATCTAAACACAATTTTAATAAATTTATGAAATGAAAACATAAATTTATGAAATGAAATTCATAAGATAAACATTTGTAGTTTTCATTTAGACTAGATGCTTAGCTATGAATATAAAAGAATATTACATTAGATATTATGATAACAAAGAGGGGCAAAGGGGGGGGGGGGGGGGGGGGCATTTTTAACTTAGTCGTATATACCTGAAAATAATTACCACATCCTTTTTACTACTGATGTGCCAGTTCTTCCTTTAGTGCATCTTCGCCACCCAAAAAATGACAGATGTCTCTTGGTGTTTCACAAGAGTGGCATGTAAAGTCGTAGCTCTGCTTTCGCGTTCAGCACACGGTTTGGGACTCAATGCCCCGTGAATTCTTAGTAAACGAATACGAGATAGAGACGTCTATATGAACGTTTCTGCTCCTCTGCAAAGCGAGCAGAAATAAACCATTGCCTTTCAGCTCCTCACGAAGTAAGCAAATAAACTCTTGCTGTGATTTATACCACCCAAGGCCATCGCGTAATTTCCACGATGTTAGGTTTAAACTTTTTCTTATACGGAAAGAGTTTTGTGAAAAAAATTGTACTTTACCGCGCTTTGCAGACGTTCTGTGATCCTAGATCGCAAGTTATGCTAACTTTATCCTTGATGTTCCTAACGTAAAACGTAAAATACATTTGCGTGAATTGTCGCACTTTTCATTTCGAAGGAAAAACAGCAGGAATAATGACATACTTATTGAAATTCAGAACGAACATGTTCCGTCACAAGATAGACGCTAACGATAAGCGTTATAGAGCGATAAGAATATGGGAAAGTTCAAAAATGCAAACATATTGAGACGACATTCAAACTCATATTCAAGTTGTGGTTCACTTCAGTTCCACTCAATATTCATTGGAAGATCCAAAATCCACAGATTGTTAAGGTCGAGACGATATTCCAACTCAAGGCCAACTTACAGATCAACCCAACTTCACAAGGCAAGTATGAGAACAATTGAATCGAGTTGAAAAAGTCGGCAACATAAACCGCGTGGGAGATGATACAAGAAAGCAAAAGATCAATATCTAAATTATATATCAAGTCACCGAATTACTCCATCGAATGAAAGCTGCAATGTCAACTTATTTTGAGATGCACAAGCATAAAAAAATCGCGGACGGATTAATCCAATGATAATCGCCCATATTTACTGGAAAGCTGAATCGATTTCGAAAGAAAACACTGAATGCGTTTGGAGTGATCAGTATAGCTTTGTGTGCCATGAGCTTGCGGTGAATGTTACGTCAATAGCATTTCGCCGGAAACTTTTACCATACCCGCCGTATTTATGTGCTGTGGCTTTATCTGATTGAATCCTGCTTTTGTCGCCCCTTGTGCCCTAAAAGACAATTTGAAGACTTTTTGTTAGAAGAAAAATCGGTCAACGGATTTGTTGCAGCTTTTAAGAGGCATGGTGCTTACAAACTGAAAAAAAGAAAGAACTAGCGACTGGCGATTGACCAATACTTTCAATAAAACGCATTTCATATTTGTACATGTGGTAAAAATGATGGAATGCTAATTGAAATGTATGAATATGTGATGATAAATGCTTTCAAAAAACAAGCAGCTTGGTAAGGTTAAAAAAAAAAACAAGTAAGAAAATTAAATCCGGTCGGGACTATATCTTTTATACCCATCACCGTTTAGCCCAAAAAAAGACAAAAGAAGAAAGAGAACAAAATTGTCATACTCTATAATATGGAGTGGGCGTAGTTGATTTCTTCTATTTTCAAAACAAAAGCTTTTGTCGTAGAAGTATGTACGCGTTGAAGGCGCATTCTTCGAACAGTTTATATCAATTCCAAATTCTTTCGCAAACTTGTAGGCGATATCTTCGCTTTCGCTAACGAGAAAATGTTTACAACAAATGCTACAAAGTTACGCAAACACACTGATGGACAGACGAACGGGCGGACATGTTTAGATGCATTCAAGATTTGAAACTGGCCAAGAATTTATATATAGTTTATGTGGATTTTGAAGATTGTTTATGCCCGTTATAAAGGTATTTAAAATATAATTAAACCTTGATACACTGTAATATCGGGTAGCCGTAGTTTTTTTACACAAATGCTACAGAATATGAGTTCAACTTTTTGTACAATTATTCGTTGTAGTTTATGGGTAATGAGCAAAAAACCTATTTTTCATTCCCTTAAAAAAATAGAGGTGTTCTCAGTTTGCACGATGCTGTGAGCGTGTCCGTCGCTTTAGCCCATCTGACGGACAAACGGCCAGACGAACAGACGGAGAGGTAGGTGGACATGCATAAATCGATTTAGAATTTGATATTGATTAAGAATACACATACTTTGTGGGGTCTCTGATGCTTCCCGCTGGACGTTAAAAACGTTTCGACGAAATGAATTATATAAAATATAATTAGTATTGGATTTAATGTAATGGACCTTGATTAAGAGCGATACTTTTTAAAAATGTAATTATACTTTTGAATTGAAATATATTTATATATTTGAATATCGTTGAATTGTTTTTTTTTGGTTTCAAATTTTAAAAAGCATCATGCTCTTCTAATGAGTTTCCCTTTTAATCAAGGGCCCTTTACTTGGATTGAAAATATTTTCTTTTCATACAAAAAAAGAGAGAATACCTGCGGAAAGAATGGCCAGTTCTACTTAAGACTTATAGGCTTAAGGTCGTATGCTTAGCAATATCACCACGACGTCGTCTGGATGAACAGTTTTACTTTGCAACGAAACCGATACAGAAGAGTAGGAGCCTGAGATAAGGTTACAAATATCATGGCAAGAAAAATTGCTCATAAATTCTTATGATTACTGACAAGCGACAAGCCTTAATTCTACGACCGTTGAGCGATGACGAGCGAACTGTAGATCTATTTTTATGCCCGTTGAGCGATGATGAGCGAACACATGCACTAATTTTATGACTATTGAACGATAACAATGCCGGAATAAGGCCCATTACTTCATTTTTTCCAGTTTTTCTTGCTTTTTGATTTCAATATAAAAAGCATTTATAAAAGTAAAATATATCCGCCCGAGTGGCCGATTAGGCAAGAGTCTCGACTAGCAACTCAATAGTCGTGGGTTCAAACCTCAAGTGCGGTAGAGTTTTTTAATAACAGCCGATAGCCCTAGATGCTAGTGCTTTAAGACTTTAGTCTTTTAGAATTTATTCTCTGGCTAAATTTATAATAATAATAATAATAAAAGTTAAATAAGTCATATAAAGGGCTTTAAATGTCTTATGATTAAAGATTCCCCACAAGAGTAAAATAAAAAAAGTATAAAGAAAGAAAACGAACACATTCCACTGCCTTTATAGGGGTTTAAATTTAAAATTTTATTTTGAGGTCCGTTGAAGTAAAGTGAAAAACTTTTGCCATTTCCATATTGATTTTTTTTGATTTATTTGCTTTTATTTTTTGAAGGATGTTTTTTTGCAACACAAGAGATATTTAGCAAATTTTTCTTATTTTTTTGCTCTCTCTCTCTCTTCTCTTCTCTTTCAATGACACATCGTACAGACCCAAGGCGTTGATGGCAGTGTCAAGAGTATTGTCAATAAGCAATACAATAGCCCAGTTGGCATTTATAGCGATGAATCTATTGCGGAAACACTTTCAGCTCAAGCCGAAGTTTTGGCGGGCGGTGTCCTCGGGTAAGTTATTGTATAAAAATTTCTAAAAACTTTTGCCATTTGATAGATGTAAGCGCGATTAAGTACCAAAAAATAAATCATCTTACATAATATTTTTATTTAATTTATTTATTTATACCGCACACACATTCACGCAAAGTATCAATGCTGTTATTGCCTGTTGTTGGGAAAGATTACAAAAAAAAAAAAAAACTAAAAAATCATTATAAAAAAGCATCTTAAGCTAAGATGAATATAATATATCCTTCACCATGAGAAAGTTTGAACCTTTCGAAGCATTGAAACGGTTTGTCGAGCAACGAAGAACATATTCTTATTAGGGTTTTAGTTTCTTCTAAACCATTCGGGCGATTCATTTATTTACTTATTTTTTTATTTATTTATTTATTTATTTACTTATACATATATATAATAATATATAATCTTAATAGTAAATCTTATACTAATTATCTTAAAAACTAATATACAATATAATGGAAGATGTGAAAAAAGAATAATAAAAACAAAGTAGCTTAAATAATAATTCAGGTATAAATAATTAAGAAGGAAAAGCATTGAATACCCAAACTTCCATGTAAGCTGCATCATCTTGCACATGACCTACTAAGAGTAAGTTATCGGTACGCTTGATGATCTCGTCTTCGGAGTCATCGTCTTCATCGGCTATTTGATTATCTACGTCGACTACGTTAGTAATATCAACTGCACGGCTATCTTCTTCTTGTTCGTAGTTATCGAAAGAAAACTCACGTACCTTGAAAGGATTATATGAATTAGTCGCTTTGAATTGAAAGTTTTACTTGACAACAAAAATTCATTAGGTGAGAGCAGGTGAAAACACTAAATGTTCTAAACGTTGCTTGTTGCAGTTGTAAAAAACATATATGCCTTGAGGTGAGCCACAAGTTACAGGGAATTTATATGAGGTGATAAAGTTAAAAAAAACCTTGAATGACCTATTATACACTAAATAGAAATGGAAGCCAGAGGGTTGGAGTCTGAAGATCAGTAAGTTATGGTTAACCAAATCAAACGCTTTACTAAAATCACTTTATATGACATCACTGCGAGAACCACTAGAAAGGGCCTTGAAAACATGGCGATTGAACTCTAAAAGATTGGTGAGCGTAGATCTTCCTTTTCAAAAGCCCTGTTGAAATATGCAATTTGTTGAGAAAGGCCAAATGATCAGTCACAATTCGCTCGAACAGTGTACGCAGGACACTCAACTTGACGATGCCTCTGCAGTTCTCAACGAGTTTTCTACTTCCACTTTTGTGAATAAGGACACTACCTTTCCAACACAACGGGAAAACACCTAAATCCAGGGACTGTTTGAAAATCTTTCAGATAATACCACATAGCTCCGGACAGATTGATTTAAGCGCACATGATGGCATTTCATCAGGTCCAGGCACACACTTTGGAGAGCTCAACCCCTTTAAAACATCGTTCTCTGAAATGACCAAATTAAGAATTGAAACCGAGTTAGTTATCGAATATGGGTGGTTTATGGTTAAATCGGAATTAGGAGTACAAAAATTTCGGTGCAAGTATTCAGCAAAGAGTTTTGAGGTTTCATTGTCATCCGAGGAGTCAGGAGCCAGTCATTAAAAGAAATATTGGAGGGATGTGTGGAAAATGTAGAATGGGTAACCACACTTGCACAAGCAGCTTGTGCGAACTGCCCAGAACAGGCGGGCGAGAAGTGGGTGTATCATTTTCTTTATTAGTTGTAGGCTATGACGCCTAAGTGAGTGAGTGACGCCACCGGGAGGAGATACCCTTACCACTTCAGCATAGCTAAAACCAGAAGGAATTCCCGTCTTTTTTGAAACTTTTTTCTTATCGACCGACTTAACAATAGCAGGAAGGCTAACGTTCATTGTAGACATTGGGGAAGCGCTAACTGATTTACTTAAGCTATTGACGAATTTCTAATTGGTTTCTAGAGAAAAGGGTGTTAATTATAATACATGAGCTGAAGGCGGTCACACACTTACACGCAAAAATTATCTCACAACATTCTCTGTCACCTTCCACGACTTCATAAGAGACAGTTTATATTGTACAGGAAGATGGGTTAGGGGACAAATGTAAGCGACTCTGTAAGTGTTAGCAAGTCGGTTATGCCGCCTTTCTCTACTTGCACTAGAAAATATGATGTTATTTACGCCAAGTTTGATAAAGTTTGAGTTTTGTTGCAAAAAATAAGTAAACAAAAATCAGGTCAACACCTTTAGCTAAAAAAGGCATATAAAATAAAGAAAGTAATTGTTGTTGTTGTTTTTACTGCTGCTATTTTATCATTATTATATCCATATACAGACTACGTGCCCTTGTCTAGTGTTGTTTTCCCTAATGTGCATGCACTGTATAGTCTACAAAAATGCGTGTTTTTAGTTTGGCACTCATTCGCCCCGAGGCCTTAAAGTTAAATGTTGCAAAAAAATTTTCAAGAGCTTCTCAAATGTGTACGTGTTTGCTAAGACTTCATAATTTCCCTTTCTCTTTACAACTCATTTAGGTCATCTCATATGGTTCAGTTTAGCTGCTCTCTTTGTTATTGCACGTTATGTTGTTTTTTTCTTAGCATATTTTACCTCAGAGAATGTTTGCAAAATAAAAAAAAATTAAAATAAAAATAAGAAATAACAATGATGAACTTGTTAAGCACCTAAAAGCTGCTCGCTTAACCCAGAGAATTTTTTCCCTGTGCCTTTTTGTGTTTTGAGTTTGTAGCACCTTGAAAAATGCCGCTGCAACAATCTCATTAGGTGCAAAAGAGTAGAATTACGGCAGGAATACCGTTCATTGTGGACATGGATGATAATAAATAAGCGAAATAATAAAAGAATAAAACACAAGCTTTGAAGTAAAATGTTCTTCTGAGTGAAGACTAAATTAAGTATGCGCCTGAATTTATGCTACGCATTCGTATATGGATGAACTTTGTAATCGCACGGCAAAGTTTTAAAGAAAAATGTGGCCTAAAGCTCAAAATTTATATATAAAGGCAAAGTTAGATTCTCTCTCTTATCCATGGTTATTGAAGAAAATGGTGTTTCTGCGTGATAAAACATGTTCAATCAAGTTTTATGTCTAAGATAACAACTAAAATTTTAATACATTCGTCACCTTGAATGCTGTAGCATTCATTTTCATTATAATGCAAGATGATCTAAATGCTGTAGCTTTGAAATTTTAAAGTTAAGTGATTCTACATAATTCTAAGATCAGAGCATAACTTTTATTTATTTATTTTATGGTCTATAAATTTTCTAAATGAATTTACAAAAAAGGCTGGCTGGATAACTTAGATCAAAAATTCACCCATTTTGGAAACCTTAGATTTGAACTCACGACGATTGGATTACTAGTCGCAATTCTTTGCCTAATCGGCTACTCATACGGAAAGCAATAGCATTAATTAGTAGGTGTTATAGTATTCATTGTAGAGACAATATTACGTTCGGGATAGCCTTATAACATATATCTAAACAGGTTTTGGAAATTCCAAGTAATTAAAAAAAAAAATTTGCTAAACTTTCGTCGCAGCTTAATGCAATTGTTAGCGTCCAGGAGCATGTTCAAAACATTTATCTTGGTTTAATCCGTTTTTTTAAAACAATTTTTTTAAAATTTTTTTCACTGTTTACTAACAGACCCATTAAAGTTTAAAAAGCCTTAAACATTTCCATAGGTAACCGTACAATTCACAGAATATCAAACCCGAAAAAGACCTCCAATACCTTCAACGAATTTTATCAAGAACACAGAATGCGTTTAAAATAAACGCTATATTCTTTGTACTTTTGGTTCTCTAATTTCAAATTCTAATAATGAGAAATTTTTGAATAAGCGACTCCCGTTAAATTTCACCAAAGTTCATTAATACTTTAGTGTTCTTTTCTTCTCGCTAAAAACCAAGGGAGGAGGTGGAGGGAGGGTTATATTCTTGGTACAATGTTTGCAACAGTCAGAAACTAGTTTTGGAAGCAGTGTAATTTATGTATTTTCTAATGTCAAATTTTGAATCAATCGAGGTATATCTGTCTATTTGTAATCATCATTTCACTGTTTCTGAAAATTAAGATGTCGACTTCAAAGTGGCAAGATGCAGTTTGCTATTGAAAATGAGGACTATCCATTAAAAGGCTCGCCCGCTTTGCAAGTTAAATGGAGAACGCCTCTATTCTGAAAAGCATAAAATTTGCTTATTACTTATAAACTACATCAGATAAGTGTCGATAAAAATTTGCGCGTGTGCATGTAATTCTCCAAAGTTTTCACAAAAATGGAAAAAATTGACGGCGCCCAACCAATTTTATCAAAATTTCAATTCTTTCGCTTTTTAGGAGAAGGTTTTTGGGCAGATAAGGAAAATAAGTGTTTCGTTGATGCACCGTTGAGTCTCCTCCTTGTATGGTCGGATGATCATGACTTTCATTATTTTTTCAATAATGCTCAACAATGAAAATTTTTTTTTTTAAAACTGAGGTAAAGTCAAAACTTGCTTAAATTTTGGGACACCTTCGAATATAATTTTCTTAATTTCTTTTCTAAGTCTTGTGATGGCAAAGCAAGAGGGTGTCAGAGTTTTTTTACATGTTTTATTATTTTGTTTTTTAAGCTTTTGTTCTAGAACTATCCAATCTGAATCAGTCTGGCAACTCTGTCGCGCGGTTTAGTCGTCTATATTTTGTTTCGGCAATTAATATTTTAATTTGTTGTTGAATTTCGTGGCTATTTTGCCTTATAGTGTGTGAATTTTTAATATACTTTGAGAAGAAAGTGAGTGAATTCAAAGTAAAAGAAATATTTTTTCTTTACGCTTTGATTCATTGGATTTTTGCAAAAAAAAATTTTGAGCTCTGATATAAATCTCTTTTTTTTTTTTGTTTTCTCTCTTTTTCTCTGGTTATTTTTTCGGTGTTTGTAGTTTGTTTTGCTATTGATCTCTCGTTACAGTGTCAACGTAGCAGAGAAGTTTTGCACAAATTGGTTGATAAATTTTTATGTTTAGGATTGTTTTTTTTTTGCGATTTGTCTGTCTGTTCTTTATAATCCACAACTGCATTTTTGACTGGACATGGAGTGTTTATACACACCTTGTCGGGCGAAAACGGGCCCGGAATCTGATCGATTCGTTTCTTGTTGGCTCTGCGAGCGCTTTGGTTATGCAAAGTGTGCCGGTATTCTCGGCCGTGCTGCTGACGCAGTCGCAGCTTAGGCTTAAGATGGTCATGTCCTGACTGTAGGCAGCGGGACATTGACTTTTATAAACTTTTCACGGAGACGCGTAATGGTTTCTCGGAATTGAGTAGAAATCTCGGCTCCTTGTGGGAAAAGTTTGAGCTAATTAAGTCTAGGTTCGATGAGTGTCGTTTTATTGGCCACTCATCTTCTACTCGTAGCGTAGCGTGTGGGACGTCACCTCTGGCTTTCTCCAAATCTGGTTCGTCGGTACAAGTTACCGCTCCGTCTAACTCTAAAATGAACAGTAATGTTTCCGATATTGCTGAGTCGGTTGGTAGCTAAACAGTTACAAACAAACCGGCAAGTCCGTCGGTTTTAAGCTAGGCTGGGTAAGTCTCACAAGCTGCCAGTACAAGGGCGATAACCCCATCTATATTCTCCCCAACTCGAAACTCTCCTACCGTGAACCCCCCTCCTGTTCCAAATAATCACATTTGCCTGACGGCAGTTCTTCCCAGAAAAGCAATATTTGTGTCAAGACTGGCACCTGAAACATCGGTGGATAACATAAAAAGTTATCTGGCGACGAAATTCCCATCAGTTAACTTAACGCGCATTAGCATCTTCAAAATGGCTCCTTCTCAAGCTAGGGCAATCTCCTCTTGTAAAATATTAGTTCCGACTGAAAACAGTGATATGTTGTTAAACAAATCACTGTGGCCAGTAGGATCCTTAATTACGGAATTTATCCCTCGAGATCGTCCCCGTAATACCAAGGCAATAGTCTTGTCGCCTTCAAAAAACTATTTGTTTCTTCAGGCCCACTATCTCTCATTTATCAAAATGTTAGGGGCCTAAATTCAAAAATTCGTTCCACTTTTCTAAATTCAGTGAGCACGGAATTTTTCTGTTTGGCCTTTACTGAAACTTGGCTAAAACCCGATCTACATTCGTCGGAACATTTTCATAATTCTTTCCAAGTGTTTAGAAATGATCGAGTAAATCGCATTGGTGGTGGTGTATTAATTGTCATATCTGCGTCAGTCCCGTCCGCTGCCCTCATTTGTGCAGTGGCCAAGCGGTCTAGAATTAACGATTTGGTCGTTACATTGGGTGACTTCAACTTGCCTCAAGTCGCTTGGTGTAATAGTGATAATTTTGGCTGTTTGGTTCCTACTTCAACGTCTGATAGGGCTATTGTGTTCTTTAGTGAATTGTTTGATCATAATTTGGGTCAATATAATCGTACCCCTAATTGTAATGGTAGACTGCTTGATCTCTGCTTTGCCAATTTTCCCGAGATTAACGTAAATCGTTGTCCACCTTTTAGTTTACCTGAGGATCCTTAAACTCATCAAACTTTTTAAAATAATTATTATGATTTTCATAAAATCAATATTGTATTACTAAAACATCGTCTTTCACATCTGACGCTTGATTTCTCAACCGGTAGTATTGAAAGCTTATTGCCATCGTTCTACAATACATTAAATCTAGCTATTGCTGCATCTGTTCCGATCAAGCATTGTCGACCTCGAAGCAGGTGTCCCCCGTGGTTTAATAAGACAATTAAATATCACAAGAATAGAAAAAACTCGCTATTCAAAAAATATTCGAAAAGTGGCTCTGCGCTCGACTATGTCGCTTACTCGGTGGCGAGGCATAGATTTAACTCCTTCAACTATCATTATTACTGCAGATACCTTCAGTTCATTAAATCCTCTCTGTTTGCTAATCCTAAATTCTTCTTTAAATTTGTTAACTCTAAAAGAAAAATTTCCACATATCCCTCTCATGTTTCTTTTAATGGCTCTGATTCCTCGGATGATTTTGATATCTCAAATCTATTTGCTGAGTATTTCCGACGAAACTTTTCGATTGCTAATTTCGATTTATCAGCAAACTACCCATATCCTATAACTAACTCGGTTTCAATACCTAACTTGGTTATTTCGGAAGATGATGTTTTTAAAGGGTTGAGTTCTCTAAAATACAGTTGTTCGCCTGGACCTGATGGAATTCCATCATGTGTACTTAAATTTTGCGCTGTCGAGTTATGTGATGTGATCTCAAAGATTTTCAACATGTCCTTGTATTTAGGTGTATTCCCTTCATGTTGGAAGAGTAGTTTCCTTATTCCTATCCACAAGAGTGGAAGTAGACAATTTGTTGAGAACTACAGAGGCATAGCCAAGTTGAGTGTCTTGCCTAAGTTGTTCGAGTTGTATTGTGACTCAGCATTTGGCCTTTGCCATTAATTCGTATATTTCTCCGCACCAGCACGGCTTTCAGAAAGGGCGATCTACAGTCACCAACTTGTTAGAGTTTACCTGTCATGTTTTCAAGGCTTTTTCTAGTGGCTCTCGCACAGATGTTATTTACACTGATTTAAGCAAAGCATTTGATATGGTTAACCATAGACTACTTGCCTTTAAATTCCAAGCCTCTGGTTTCCCACCCTACTTAGTGAAATGGATAAGCTCTTATATGCACAATAGATCCTTCAGGGTTTTGTTTAACTTCATCACCTCGGATGAATTCCCGGTTACGTCTGGCGTACCGCAAGGAAGTCACTTAGGTCCCGTTTTATTTAGTTTATACATTAACGATCTCCCATCGGTGGTTAATTCCAGCCAGATCTTAATGTATGCTGATGATGTGAAACTGTTTTCTTCCTTCTCTGTTGAATCGCAATCACATCAGCTTCAAGGTGATTTGAATAATTTGGTTGCATGGTGCTCTGAAACTAAATCTGAGTAAATGTAAGAAGCTTTCATTCTATTGTACGCGTTTAGAGAATAAGCGCATATTCGTTCTCAATAATTCAACAGGTCTTTATAAAAAAGCCTCATCGATGCGAGATTAATGTGAATATTCTCAATAATTTCCATATACAAATTCCAACCATCTGAGAAAATAAAAATTGTTTACAATTGAGAATGTTTGAATAAATTTCTTTACATGTATTGTACGCCTTTAGAGAATAAGCGTATACAATTATCAAGAATTTTGCATGTATTGTACGCAGCCACTTAGGACCCTTTCTATTTAATTTACACATTTGCCTTCGGTGATTAAATCCAGCCAGATCTTAATTTATGCTGACGATGTGAAACTGTTTTCTCCCCTTTCCGTAGAATCGCAATCACATCAGCTTCAAAGTGACTTGAATAATTTGGTTGCATGGTGCTCTGAAACAAAATCTAAATAATTGCAAGAAGCTTTCTTTCTCAAGAAGAAAGTCATTCATTACTCAGTATTTCATAGATACGCATAAGTCGGAGGATGTCGATTCGATCACAGATTTTTAACTTGCATGTTGAGCTCTCGATAAGCAAAGCTAGGTCCGCGCTTGGTTTTATAAAAAGGTGGTCCAAAGAGCTTGATGATCCCTACATTACGAAAAGGCTGTACATGTGTTTGGTTAGACCCATACTCGAGTATGCCTCAGTTGTGTGGTCTCCTTCATATAGGTGCTATGTGGATTGAATTGAATCTGTTCAAAAGCAATTCTTGCTGTTTGCCCTTAGAAATTTGGGTTGGGATCCGATTGCCTCTCTTCCCCTCTATGAAAATAGGTTGCTTCTGCTGTCCTTACCGTCTCTTGAGAAACGTAGGTTTGTTCTTGGCGTTTCCTTTGTAATCAAAGTAATAAATGGTGCTATTGACACGCCTTCATTACTTGGTGAAATAAGCTTTAATGTCCCTAACCGCTTCTCTAGGTACTTTATCCTGGTTAAGCTTAGTCAATGTAAATTTAATTGTGAACTGTTTAATCCGCTCAGAGTCGTTTGCAAGATCCTAAATGACGTCTACCATTTATTCTCATTATCGGACTCTTTAAAGTCCATTAAAGCAACATTGCTTAATACGCGCGATTTACCTATGTCGTACTTAAACTAGCTTTTATCCTTAAAAAGTCGTTACGATTCGAAAATGAATTATTGCTAATTATTATCGGTTGCCAGGCTTATCCATGTTTGCGATGGCTTAGGCGTTCATTTGCAATTTGGTTCTGTACCGGTTGTAAGTGTGGCTCTATGCTGATAATATACATAATTTTTTTTCTTTTTCTTTTTTTTTTTCTTCTTATTTGTTTTATTATACTTATACTAAATTTTATTATTAATTAATATAAGTTTTGCATTATGAGCCAATTAGACTTGAGTTTCTAGTATAAGTAGAATTAAAATAAATAAATTTGAACCGGTGTGCACGCATCGATGTTCAGTACTTTAAAAAGGGAACCCGAGACACGGAGTCAATTACTGAAATTTATTCCATAACTTCAGCGAAATGAATCGCTGGAACTTACACCGTGCTTAAAATTAATTATTGCGCAGAATGTTGGTAAAAGATCAACCACAACGTGTTATCATACATTATCTCTCAGTAACGGCTTACACAAAAAATTATCCTTTAGACGAACTATTGAATAGTATATTTGTAGTACAGTGTTGTTTCTATTCCTTAAATTTCATAGCATATCCTTAGGCTTAATATATTAACAAAATAAATTTTTCTTGCGCACTTTTTGCAGTGTTAACTTTAAGAAAAACGAAAAGGAATACCATGCTGAAAAGTCGGAAGTTTTAAAATTGCTACGTGAAGAAGAGTCTGGAAAATCAACTCCAGGTAATTTAAACGATTACTATGCTTTGGCGCAAATACTTTTATTAGTTAATAACGGAGAAAATCCACTTGTGTTAGATGACAGCAAAGAATTATAAAAGAAAACAAAATTAGAATTAGTTTGGAAATTTATTTAAAACGATAAACAGACGTCTAAGTGCTCCAAAATAAAAAGATTTTAAGCTTCTATCATAAGCAGCGGTTGTGTTTCTAAGGTTTTACCACATAAATTTTTTAAAATTTTGATTGAAAGACCTTGACCAAACGCAGTGATTGTAGCTATAAAGCATAAGGATTCCTTACCAAACTTTTGATTTATATGTTTTATAATTGATTATTTTACGAAGTCTTTCGGTGATTTGCTTGTACAATTATTTATTTATTTTATCTAAATTTTTAACTAAAACGGTCTTAAAAGTATATATACAAACGAATCATACAAACGTTTTTAAATGCTAATAGCATTCAATATTCATCCACACCAAGAACCACAACAACAATATCAACAACAACATCAACAACAACAACATCAGCAACAACAACAACATTATCAACCATCATTTACAAGGCATGTCAGTCCACCAGTTAGTTCACCAAAACCTCCAAGTACTGGTGGTTTGCCAACTGGTCAAAATATCTGTAGTGATTGTGAACGTCTCATTACGTAAGTGTGTGTTTTGTTCATTGAGCTTATTTCTTTCAGTCCTTTCTCCTTTTTCTTCCCTTACTTTCCATTAAAATGTACATCATCCTATAAAACTGCAAAAAAAACCAATTAATTATTCATAAATTAAAACATAACTTGAGTTAAAAAGAAAAAGAAAGAAAGAATGCTGGTGATGCCAAAAACTAATTAAGAATGAAATCATTCGTCATTATTTAGAAAATAAAAACAATTTATTCTAAATTTACACTAAATCAAGTCACAAGAGAACGTCTACGCGTCACTGTAATGAAGTCTAGCAGTAAATATAGAAGCATCCGCTTGCTCTATCTTCCATATAAGAAAACAAGCTCGTGCTTCTGTTAAGGTTATATATTGGATAAAAAATGTTTCGCGCTAACACTAAACGACTTTTGAAATAGATCTACTGGAATAATACATTTTTTAAGAAATAGCTTCTAGATTATTGCTGATGAGTTTCAAAGGATTTTTGCAAATGAAAGACACACCGATGTGCCTGAAAGTGAAATATGAGACTTGTAAGAAAATATATGAAACTTGTAACTTGGGGGTCACAAAATGCAGCGCTTAAATATATTTTAAAATGAAATATTTTCATTATTTCAGAATTACGTTAAACTGTCTAAAAACTTGTTCCAAGCATATATAAATAAGTAAAACAAATAAAAATACAGTGAGCAACCACTAATTATTCCTTATCAAGTAGGCGAAGTGGCCTTCGTTCTTGGGTCAAAACACGTCAATGTACTAAACTCATCAAAAGAAAATTTTGACCTGAAAGTTGAATATAATAAAGAAAGGATTTACGTCAAGTCCTTCGGAGTGTTGCATTCATTCGTACAAATTTCACAAGTTCACATACCATAAGTGCAGTGCGGTACAGACACTATTGGTATTATATCCGGTCTCTGCCATCAAAAATCGCAACTGTCTAAGACTTCGGTTCGCGGTCCACGAGGAGATCAAAATACTTCCAATAAAATTTTCTAAAGCCTTTGCGACGAACGCTTCCGTACCTTGCATTCTTTTGCTGCAACTGTCTTTTGAAGCTTACGATAGGTTATAAATGAACTTCTCTTTTACTCCGGATTACAAAAAGTTCGTTCATACCAAAGTGGAACATTGTACACGTCTGAGATATCTACAAGCGCAGAAACAAATGTAAATGAAATGCTTCGAATTTTCTCAACAGGATTGTATTTACGAGTCGTACTCGTCGTGAAAACTCTTAAAACTTTTTGTGCATATGACAATTTCTTGCTTCTTATATGTTAATTTAAGTTTAATCAGAAAAACCTTACCATCTTTTCAGTTATATTAAATTGCTCTAAACGCTTTAAAACGAACTCAAAAAGAAAAGCAAGAAATGTTTATGGATGCAAATTATAAGGTTGTTTGTACTTTTACTTAAGTTCGAGGTAATAACTTTTTCCGTAACGCACCTTGTGCTTGAACCTAAGTTTAAATTCGTTAATAGATATTTTCGATATGGAAGGTAGTGTTTCTTGGCAAGTTAGAAATAACGAGTACAAAGTACATGTATTGTTAATCAGCATCAAATTCTAAACCTATTTAAGCATGTCCGTCTATGCTTTTGTCCATCTGACCGTAGAAAAAATCAGCTGCACCCACTACATCCTTTCCCTTGTTTTTGGGTAAACGGTGATGGATATAAAAGATGCGATCCCTACCGAATCTCATTTTCTTACTTGTTTAATTTGGGCGTGTCAGTCTATTAATACCAAACTTTGACTAAACTTTTTTTATAGGTTGACGTTTCCTCCAAAGTGGGCGTGTTTTTTTTGGCAGACCATAACCGCTCTTGCATTCTTGCGTGTTATATAATATAATAACTCAAAGCCAAAGATTAGCATTTGTCGCAGATTGCAGTAGTATTGGTGTAGGCGTGGATTTTGTAGATTGATTCGTGGCCACCAACTGAAAAGATGGGGCGCCGTAAAGTTTTCGAACACCCTGTCTGTATAGCAAATTTCGAGTGTCTGTTCTAATTCACAATGGTATCAATTTCAAACGACGATTAATAAACATAGGACGGAAAGGCAGAAAAAGACTGAATTGAAAATGAAAAAGCACATACTTCAAAAGGTGTCTCATAGGCATTTGTTATAACAAGTGCATGGAGAATTGTAGTTGGCATATTTTATGTTAATATTACGAACCGAAGCCAGATTCTTTGGACACTAATCAACTATCTCAGCATTTTAAAAGCTTATAACATTATAAAGGTTAGCGGGACCAGCTGACCTGATTCAATCCAGCCGTGTTCGCCTATGGTTGTCGTTTTTTGTGTTTCTTGGGAAAATTCCCAACATTAATAAAAACTACAGATAAAAACAAAAGAATTCGTTGCAAGTTGTAAGCCACAGGGATGTATGTTCATTCTAGTACTTAACGTATTCAACTAACGGCTATATGGAAAGAGACCGAAAACATAAAGCTTGTTTTTCATTCAAAATTTTTTTCGTTAGACTTATGTAAGAATTTTACATAAAAATATCTTCAATGACGCGCTAACAATTATGATAACACACTATAGATAGCCTTAATAGCCATCGACGATTTAGTTTCTTTCGTTCGCTTCATATCAATTTAATGGATTATAATGTCGATACCGCCTATCCGTAGGACAATTTATTTTTAGAGCAAAAAATTTATTTTAAATTTGTTTAGATTTTACGGTTTTTTTTTTTTGTCTTTTACATTTTGTATGATTTGCTTACTTTAACTGTATATAGTGACTTGCGTTGAAACCGCCGCATCAAGTACATCAAATTTCTATTGGACTCATAGTCATGCGATTGGTGGTAACGAGCGTCGCTATACATCCGTTTCACAAAAGCAACATGACGAACGTACCGGTACAAAATTGCAACACCAAACATTGGCACCCGCTGCTACGCATCGACCAAATTTATCCGCAACGATGGCAACGCAAACTGGCAATAAATTTAAGCCAATTGATGAACACCAATCAGGGGGTAGTGAAGCTGCGATTACTACTGATAACGATTTTGCAACAGCATCTGCTAGCCAACCTGACCCACGTTTAATTGTAATGCCTGTGTGTCCGGCATTACAAACACCCGAATATAAAGCGGAATTGGAAGCTGCTGCTGCCGCTGCAGCACAGGATGGTAGTCCAAGACCATTGTCGGCCGGCGGACATCCGGCTTGTCAAATGTGCGGTGTTGGCATAGTGTAAGAGCAGACATAGTACAAAATAATGTGTTGTGTTTTTTGATTTTTGTTTCATTTTTTTATTTATTTTTTTATTTTTTTTTATTTTGAAACTTGCATTAATAAGAGCGTTTATTACTACGGGAAGCCAAAGTCTGACTAAAACAACATAAATTTTCTACGAGTGGAAGTACGTATAGTGCAATAATTCAGTAATTTTTTTTTTTATAGATTTCGTTAGGTGTTATATAACTTGAAAATGAGTAGATTGACAAATTAGGGGCGTGGTGCTACATGATAATACTTCATGAAACTCGAATCGATAAAAGATTTCTTATCCCAATTTCTTTTTTGTCTTCTTTTTCGCTTGAAATGAAATAAAATATCACAAATTTCTCCCCCTACTGACTCAACAAACAAAGCATAACAACTGTAGTTAACTTTCTAGTTTGGTGTATAATGTTTACTCGTTATTCACTATCTATCACTGTTGCGATATTAAATATTTCGCTAGGTTGCAAATTTATGACAAACTTTATGCGTTCACTCCGTGTACACACTTAATAGGATACGTAGCGTAGACATTCTAAAAAAAAAAAAAAATTAATTTTTAACAACATCGCTCCACAGGTTACTGAAACGTATATGTTTGTGGGAATGTGCGTTTGCAGGAAAATTAACATTTAAATTGAAAAATATACTGAAGCATTTGGTTAACGAATGCACTGCCGTAATATATGAGAAGTTTTATATGAATACGTGTTAAAGGTTATGTTGTGTTAAGTACTTATTGGCTTAGTGCACGCATCAACCACCGGTCGAGGATATATTAACTTCGTTACTCATTTTGTAACCTATGACATATTAAGCACAGATTCCATAACAACATATCATTCTAAACCGATTTGTCTACATCTGTCTTTTCGTCCGTCGGTCTTTCTATTGCTTAGATCATAAAAACTGCAGGGGAAAACATAGCAAACTTTCTCTATCATTTTTACAAAACGAATTATAAACGAGCATGATCCGTTAGTTAGCAGGCGTTGCTCATCAAGCGAAAAATAGAAGTGAATGCATAAGTGGCAAATGCATGAATTTTGGTCAAATAATGTCATCCACCTATTAACATTTTTAAAAAAGCGGGCGGAATTGTTTTTAAGGGTAAATAAGCACTAATTTGTGCCTCTACGGTCACTACTGAGAAAGCTGTTGTAGTTGTGAAAACTGCTGAAAGAGGAATTTCGGGTTTCTGCTAACTCGTCGTCGGCCCATTTACTAAACGGCAGATTGTCTAGTAAATCACCCCTTTTGGTGCAGTATACTTCCGAAATCTTTTTACGATATCATCTAATTTACCGCAGAAGTTGAAGACACATTAGAATTTCTTCAAAGCCGTCCGTATTTGAATATTTTTTCCCGTGTTTACTTGCAAGCCCCCACACCAAAGAAAAAATAATAAAAAAAAAGACAAAGATGAGTTGGAAGCAGCTAATTGGAGAAGCCAACGCTTAACCCAAAGTGTTTCCGCCTATGCACACCACTTGTTGGCCATCTTATGTAAAAAGATATTTAGCCTAATAAGATATTCAATCAAACAAAAGTTGAAGTTTAAACTTCAAAGTCTTGTAACTTTCACAACACTAACTCTATCATGTCATGCTATAGCGCTTACAAAAAGTGACACTCTGTCGATAAGCAAAAAAAGAACATTTTGGCAATTTGTTAATCCAGTTGAAAGTAATTGCCTTTGGAACATGAGCCGACATTCTAAAAGCATTCGTCACATTTTACAATAGCAGTTCATTCAGAAATGGTTGAGAGAAGTGATCCTATTTTTCATCATAACGTTGCCCGACCACTCAAAGCGCTAATGACTTGGCAAAAATTGAGAGGGGTTGGTTGGGGAGTTTAGTAAAGCCTGCACGTTTCGCCTGCCTCTTTGTTGCACTCTCTACACTTTGTGTCAATCTACCTTAGTGGTGAAAAGCTAACTTTCATACAGATCCGTGAAAATCAAACTAGTTCCATTTTTATTTTTCAAAATTCTCACAATGGTTTTCATTGATAAAAGGCAAAGTATACTCGATCAAGATATCAAATATTTAATTTTATAAACCTTACTTAAATTACTAAAAACAAAAAGTAGGAATTTTTTGGGAAGGAAAAATGCCACGAACTTTTGCTTGATCTATTGGATAACGTCAACAAATGAAATATATAAAATTTACTTCCTATAAGCTCAATAATCTTAGATGAGCTTATTCGTTTTGCTTAATAACTCACTTTAGAACTCTCCGACCATTAATCTTAATACGACGAAAAAGTTAAACCGGATTTTGTGTTTTTCCTTTGTTCCATTTGTAACGTGTAGGAATATGCGTTTGGCGTTCAAAAAACGGGTAAAAGGCGTGGAAAGACTTTGTTAAACCGACTCATAATCTTACATTAACCATGAACGAATATATACATGTGTATGCACATATACATGAAATTTACGAGCCCCGAAAGTAAGCCTATAAGAGGGATCAATCTCCACTCTCGTGGAGTGATTTGTCTGGTTAATTTCGATAACGAACTAGACTCAAATATATTAAACATATGCTTTCAGGATAATGGAAGTGAAGCTTTTATGGCCTTTACTTATAAGCATTGTAAATCGTGTGAGCGATTGAAAAGTCGTACCTGTTGGTTTGGGCAAATTGTATCTATCAATAATGAGATCGAGCAATAAGAGTTCTTACATGCCCTGGGCTGCACTCGCGCTACAATGAAAGTCTCATCGTGTATTTCCTAGACCGCGTGGTCCGGCTAAACACCTGAACTACTTTAGTAGTTGGGAACTGTCTTCTGAACTGAAGTTGTTCAGGTGAATTTGGGATTTCGAGTAAGCGTGAGTCATTAACAAGCGTTCCTGCTCTTTGTACACACTGCCTGTCGATACTACCAATTGAATTATTTGGTTAGGCTTTCGGACGTGATCACTGTAATGCATTTTATATGTTGCTGCTGTTTCTGAAAGTTGACCGAACTTGGTTATTTAGAGAAACCAGAAGTCGTAGTAAGATTATACATACGCAAACATGTATGTGTTTGTTCTTGGTCAATATAAAATCACGAGTCGATTTGAAAAAGATCTAACTCACCTGGCTTTTATCTGTCTTTTGAACGTCCAACGCCGCAAGTATTAGGAAGGAAACCTAGAGTTTGACATATACTTTTTTAATTAGTGGAGGAACGCGGAGTACGCACTACCGGCTTATAGCCAAGACGGGCAAGGAAACTGTAACCATACAATCCATCTTTCTCAGAGTTTTCGAACGGATGTAAGTTTATTGACTGTTTTAAGTTATTTTTAATCTTACATAAGCCGCCAAAGGGTGCACAAATGCCTGGGTAGTGTTATGTGGATAACCTGACTCAAGACGGGTATACTTGGCGCAAGCACTTCCTTCACTCCGAATGTATATTTTAGACTTTCTTCATGACTCCTACCTAATGACATTTGTCAGATTGCTAATTCAGGTCATGCATCCCAATACCAAGACTAGTAGGTAAATAGAGGGGTGGACAAAAATAGTAAAACTGACCTAAAGTCTTAATGCTAATCCATATCATTTGTTATGTATGATAATCGGTTAGCAAGCTTTACAAGTGCATGCGATGTTATTAGTATGCACTCTCACTGCTATTGTGGTTACAACAATTCTTATAATTATGTATGCTATTATTTATCTTTCCATTATTATTCGTCTTTTTTTCTTCTTTTTTTTAATCATGACGAATGTGTTTGAATTTACTGGCTTTTTATGTCAGGATCGTACGTCCTCATATACCCTCTTTCCCCACCATTTCCTTCTGGCCACTTAAATGATTCTTTTTAAATTGCAAGTTGATAAAACGGTTTATTAATTAGTATTCTTTTGTTTTTATTTTGTTTTTAAATTGTGCTCTATTGTACCAATTAATATGTAAACTGCAGTGGTGTTTTTGTACGCATCAAGGATAAGAATTTACACGTTGAATGCTTCAAGTGCGCTACTTGTGGTACGTCATTGAAAAATCAGGGCTACTATAATTTCAATAACAAGCTCTACTGCGACATTCATGCTAAATTAGCGGCATTACAAAATCCACCAGCCGGCACTGAGGGTTATGTGCCAGTGCCTATTAAACCGTAAGTATGTCGTTTGAAATACATGGTCACCAATTTGGAATGACGGCTTTTGCTTTCGTGTGCGTGTGTATGCGTTGCGATACAAAAAATAATTCAAATATATTTAAATATATTCGTATTATTACTTTTGTAATGCATTCGTACATGTATCACGTAATGCTTGTCATTCATTTATTATTTGATTTTGTTTACTGTGCTTGTCTTCATCTTTCTCTCTCTTTTCACATTTGCTTTTCTGTCTGAATTTATCATATTTGTATGTTTTTTAAATTTTTTTTTTTTTTGTTATTTTGTATATCATGATATGGTAAATTTATTGTTGATGTGCATATAAATGCACCATAGCTACGTTGTGTACACTTGTATATGCACAACCAATTTCATCTACAAACATTTGTGAGTTTTATGAATATTTACATATATGCATACAATTCATCATTCAATGAATATTGGCACACAGTATCCGATAAGCAATACACACTTACCTACGTTGGGTGATGCTTACAATTTTGATTATATGCTTTTCGTGTACACTATGTGCACAAAATACTTGTTTATTTATTTCTTAACTTGTATTAATTTTATTTTTATATTTAAAAAATCTATTTCGTTTGTTAACATTTCCTGTTATTATTACTCGTTTATACTGTTTTACAATCTAATATTAAATATTTATGAATATTTTTTTCAAAAGAAAATTTGAATCAATCACATTTTTTGATTAATAATTAAAAACAGTTTTCTTATATTTACCATGCGGTACATTAAGTTTTTACGAAAACATATGACATCGAGAAGGTTTTATTAGATAGACTTACTCTTTTTTTATATCGCTGGATTTAAAATCATTTTCGAAGTCAAGATAAGCCCATCAGTCTATTTTGTTTGATCTCTGTTCACGTAATTTTGTCTTAAGCCGGTGAGTTGCAACTTTTTTGCTATTTGTACGAAATTCGATACACAATGATATGTATTGGTCTAAATGTAAACCCTATTGGCGATGGATTTACAAGCAGCTCTCCCGTAGTGCCTGCAATTTTCAATATTTCTTGGCAAAAACTAATTCAAAATAATCGGCATACTAAATAGGTGCATTAAATTTGGATGGGTTCAGACCACATTTTTAACCGCCTGCCGTACTAATGTATCAACAGAAAAAATCCCTGCATGACAACAAAGTTTAATTTCTGATATTTCATACTGAAAGTCGCCTCGCGATCAATCTCTGCCATAGTTTTGATAGTTTCCCATTAACTTTCCTTGTTGGAATGATGCTACTAATTTTTTATTTCACGATATTCGAATTTGGGTTGCTTTGGGATAGTCTCAAAAGATATGCTATTTTTTCGAGATTGAATTCCAAACTTGCCCGAGAAATGGCAAAAGGTAGTAGCCATTGTCGGACAAAACTTTGATAACCCTTTCTATACAGTTTGTTATTTTGTTGTTGTTTTTTAAATAAACGTATTTTCGATCACAAAAAAGGAATCGAACTAATTTTTACCCTTATTAGTTTATGAAGAGCAAAGAAAAAATCCAAAGAGGAGAGGTTTTTGTGAGCTTATGTTCAAGTGTCGACGTGTCTTTTGTCCTCAATTTCAATAACAAGTTGAGAAAAATATGATGGTGCTTCTTCTTTAAGAAATCAGCAAATCAAGAGACGATGATTCAGGCTGCTGAACACTTGATGCTGACCAAAAATATATGTCTAAAGCTCGTTTCTGAGTATTGGAAAAATGTTGCCAAAATCAATATAATTCCAAGCTTCTTTGGTGGGAATAAAAAGACTGGGACTTTCGTTCCCGTTGATGTAATACGCCTACATATCTTTTGTGTTGAAGAATTAAAAGATAACGCAATTAATATATTTATGTGTTCTGACACTATATATTCTGATCAGTTGTCATTAGTCACCATAGAAGACACAATATTTAATTTCAAACATTCTTTCACAAAATTTAAAGAATCTTTTGTCCACAACATATAACAAGTTATAAGGTTCGGGTTACTGACATACATGTTCTACATGTTGTCACAAAAACAAAGCACGATAACTAGAAATCCCAAAAAATTCAATTATAATTTTATGGGTTAATGATAACATTTATGTCAACCAAGAGCTTTAAGGAAGTGAAATGATTGAAAAAAGATCAAAAAAAACCGTCCCCTCATCTCCCCCAGATCTGGAATTTGTGTTAACTAAAAACAGGGAGGAATGGAGAGTGTACGGTTACTATCTAACAACAATATGCATTCAAGCTTCACTTAAAAGGGGATGAAGTGCTCTCTCTTATTTACTTTTTATACCCTACACCACTTGTTATATAAGGTATATTAACTTTTGCGGACGTATGCAACACCACGACCCATCTTTTATTATACAGAGTATATTTGCAAATTGATCAAAGCTTATCTGTCCCTCTGTCTGTCCGAGGTCTATCAACCTGTAGGGTTCAACCTCCAGTCAGACCCTTGACAAGTAAGTTGGTTTTGCTAAATTTCGGCCACTTTAATTAATGTTTTGAACATCCTTGTATGTAAGGGCTTTCATGAAAATAACACGTTTACATAAAAGTAATGTGCAATGTTTAATGTATTATCAATTATCTCCAAATAAAGCGAATTGGTGTAGGGTATGTAATAGTCGACCTACCCAATCAATATGGTTTTCCTACGTGTATTATTTATTACATATCGTTCCAGATGGAAATCCAATGTACGTTGCAATACAATCTTTTTGTATTTTCTTTTTTCTTACTTATTTATTGCAGGAACACTAAATTAAGCGCCTCGACAATCTCTTCGGCCTTGAGTGCTCACGGTTACAATGGCGTAGCTAATGGCAATTCCGGAACACCGACCCCATCATCGGTAAGTGTATACGTACGTATTATATGTCGAATAGGTGATTAAACATTCCATTCACAACGCATTGTGTATTGATGGTTTGAGCGAAAAAAGGGAGAAGAAGTTGCCGAAGAAAGGCAAACACAGAGGATAACACTAACTTCTTTATTTCACTACTTGCACTTAGTAACACTACTACCGAATACCGCATACTATCATTCATTTAAGTACGAGATATTGTTTTGATCACTTGTAAAACTTTAGAACAAAAACACGAAACCATGCTTCTGCTCACTTCACAAAAGAAAAGGAAAAAATCGAAAACTAGAAACGAATTTTTTTATTTCATTTTTTAATTCTAAAGTGAAAGACACATTAGCTAGAGGCTCTTATAAAAAGAACCAACAATCTGCATTTATAAACAAAAGTTGAATTACGTAAATAATACAATTTATACATTGTAAAAAGATCCTTCCAACTCATTGTTTTCCTATCGAGGTGGCAAAGGGCTTTATTTATATCAAAACGAAAGAAAGAAAGATATATGAAAATATTTTGCAATTAACACAAGACCCCCGGGATCATTGATTGAACGTCGTCTCAGACATGTAAAATTCAATCCTAACAGAAAAGTTCTTTTTTTTTCATTAAATTCTGAAAATTAAACAGAGAAGTTTTCCGCATAAACTAGCGTAAGTCTTTCCTTTGGATTTAATTGTGACGATCATTCTATTCATCATCCATCTGTTCTTATGGTTTTTAAAATCATCGTCATGAAGCACGAAAGTTTAAAATTGAACGATCGACCCAATAACACATTAGCTACCTTCTTATCCATCTTTTGTTCCGTTTTTTAATCGCTTTTTTTGTCTTTCTATCCTTCTTTTTGGCTCTTTCTTTTTTTGTGCTTTCTCTTTTGCTTTCTTTCTTTCCTTTTCTCCCTCTTCCTCTAACATTCTTTGCCGTTTTTCCCTTTCTTCCCTATCTATCACTTTCCACCCTTCTTTTTTCGTCCCTCTCTGACCTTTTTCCTCCTTTCTTCTTTCTCCATTTGTCACCTTAGGAGGGGAGAATGCAGACTTCTGTTAGAAATATTCGTTCTTTAATTGTTCCAAATTTAAAATGGAACACACTCCCATATACGATGCTAGGAGTTCGTAAGAAGGGATAACGGATTTCATTTTCTTGAAATGCAAACATAAACACGTATCCAACGCCAAATGTACTCCAGGATACATACCATTAAAAAAAAAACCGTAAAAAAATACCCTTCTAATAATATAAGCATTCAAAACAAACACAAAATAAAGAAAAGAAGGAAAAACCGGTTTTTAAAATAAAGCCTGTTTTAGGCGCTTCGCTCATCTACGTACAAAAATGAAATAAAAAAAAAGAAAGAAAATTAATTATTTTTGTTATCAAAAAAAAAAAAAAAAAAAATGCTTTTTATTATAATTTCATTTAGTTTTACAAGTGTTTTTGCTTAAATGATGCTAAAAGGGTGCGACGGATGCGAGTGCAATTTAATATATGTTCCTACTTACAAAAATATATGTGTGTGATGCGTTTATGTATGATGAGAAAATAAATGCTTTGTATTTATGTTTGCCGTTAGCAAGTTTTATTTGATTGCTATTGTGCACCTGTTTCAACTTTTATGATGTGATTACGATTTAATCGATGCATTAAATGTACGCGTTAATGGATTTTGATTTACTGATTAAATTTAAACCTTTTTCGAATGCTGCCTGCCTGTGCATAGTCATTCAACTGAAATTTCATTTATTTATTCATTTATGTTTTTGTCGACATTTTTATTTTAATCTTAAAACTAAATTTAAATTGATTTTTTTTTTTGTTCTTCTCGTTGATTTGCTTTTAAATTTGTCACATGCACCGATTAACACACAGAATACCGTATACACGTAAGCTATTTGAAAGAATATGCACTTATGTGCATATAAAATACTTCATAGCAAGAAAGGTGTGCTGTTTTTATTTTTTCAACGTATGCCTCATGGTGTTGATTTTGTTCTATTTTTATTTCACTTGACAGTCACCCTACGAAAAATTCAGCGTACCTACCACTATATAAGGTTTTTGACTTTAACGTGAGCTTAATTTCAATAATTTTAAGAATTTTGTAGAATAAAAATATTTATACACATTACTATCTCAATAAATTTAAACTTTAACCTAAAGTTAATCTGAACAATTGAACTTGCACTTGTTAATATTATATTTCTTTATATACGTAAATTCCTCTAATTAATAGGCAAACATTAGATGTTTCTCTTAATCATAACATTACGGACAAAAACAGTAGCTTCCAATATCTTAAGCTTGAATCAAATTCCGGGTTTAGAGAACGTATATCCCCATTCCCATTCAACACTCTTTTAGGTGGACGTATATTAACTTCCCCTTATCGTGCAATACAGTAAAATATCTTAGACATAGCTGATTAAAGATTAAAAAAATTTTTCTTAATACCTCTTAACAGTGTTTTTTTAGGAAATAAATTAAATATTTTGTATCCCAATTTGTTCATAAAGATAAGAGTAGTAATTTTATACTGATCGAAAAATCACTTTCTCCTTTGCACATATAACGGATAGTCTGTTAGACAAAAGTTAGATTTCTTATGCAATCAGAATTCGCGAGCATATTACTAACTCATAACAATAAGATTGACTTTAGCTGAAGTTAAAAACTAACGACATCTTTTGAGATGGACTAGTTACAAGTTTAAGAAGGGCTTGGATAGTTTAGGTCAAATATCTTTCATTTTAAATAAATACAGAATAGCTGTTTATTGGACTTAAACAAATTTCCTGTATAGCTTCGTCAGGCAAGGCTTATATTTGCAATACTATAGTTATAAAAGATATAGCAAAGTTACAGAAAAGACTCTAACATTAACTTAAGCCCAACTTAAAGCTAAAAGATCTTATCACACATTTCACATTTTACAGTCATACTTTGCAACGGTATATAAACTTTGGCTAGCTTAAAACTAAAATTACACTAAATTTAAGGAAGTAATTTTAAACAAGTTAATTTTAACTTAGGATTAACTTCAGTTCCTAAACCAAAAGTTAAATTGAATTTACTTTGTGTTTAAAATTTACTTAAATTTAATTAATTTTACGTAAAGTTAACTTAACATTATTTTTAACTCATGGTAGTTAAATTTAACCTGTGTTCAATTTTTATAGTTTAATTCATTTCGAATTATTACTTTTGGTTAACTTTTAGTTAATTACAACTCAGACTTGAAAGTGATCAATGAAGTCTTTAGTTAAAAGTTTTTTCCTGAGAGAAAAAGAAAATCGCTCAGTTCTCTATGTTCCTTCGAAAATATTCGTATGCAAAGGTTCGTTTCTCATGCTTTCATTATATGCTCACTAAAACTATTTTAAGAAATCACGAAAAGTTTTTCAAGTCGACTATTGCACACTTATTCGTAAGTTTATTTATACTTTGAATTATAATTATTTTTTTTTTATTTTCAATCATGTAGCTAAAAGAAAACAACAAAGACAATTTAAATTTATTCTAGAAGAGTAAAACTAAAATATATTCGAAACACATAAATGAAAATCTCTCAATACATTGTATACATGTCCTGTTTACTAATAACAAGTAAATAAGCGAATACACCTATGCTGTGAATTGCGTGACAGATCCTGTCTTTAAGAAGCTATGAACATTGATTATGTAGATTTTTATACTTTTTAAGGGTACTATTTAAAAAGAAAACAAAAAGTGTACACTTGTTCTTATTCATAAAAAAATTGAAAAATGTCTTAAAGGAAATTTAAAGTGAATTCACTTCTTGAAAAGTGTTTTCATTTTCCAAACATTGAGGGACCGTGAAAATTTCAGTCACGTCCAAAAATTGACATTTGTTTTAAAATTAGTAACAATACTCGAAATTTGTTTAGAAATATTTTGTAAGGGTAGCCACAATGTAATTGCATATACACATTAAATGGCGTGACATCCCCAAAAAGATAGGTCCTAGTTTTCAACTAATTATTATTAATATAGTAAAGTTATATAAAAATTAAATGCAAAGTAATTGGCTTCAAAATTGGAACGTTGTAGCATTTACGTCATATTGCGTCCTGCTGAAAACGTATGCAATAGCATTTATTTCCGTCGACGTGTTAAATGTAATCAAAATCTCAATTGTTATTTGCAAAAAACCGTTCTTAATGCAATTAAACTCTCTCCTTGTATAAGACTAAGGAAAATTTCGGAGTGCAAAGTCTTGTATAAAAGTCTGTTAGCTTCAAGTCTATATTCAAAGAACAAATTTTAAAGTATTAATATTTTGACAGTATTGCTTTCAATTTCATTTACATGCATCGGTAGTTTCATAACTTTACAGCGTGGTGGAAAACAATGTTAGGATTCAATAAGGGGAACGAGTTTTTCATTGAATGGGATGCAATGAATAGTTAAAAGAAAATACTCGACATATAAAAAACCACTGATAATCCATGTTTAGTAAACTCTTTTTCTAACTGTATGAACTTGCCCAGTGAAATTCATTTTGACAACACAATGAATAGAGTATCGTCCTGTTTGGATGGTGTTAATGACTCGCATCGGGAGCAGAAAATTATTGAAAAAGATGAATGAGTAGTGCGATAATAATAGAATAGATGAGAGTAATATGAAACGCGATTCAAGGAGGCTAGCGAAGGCTAGCGGAATAATTTTTTTTTTTTTACTTTAATCAGGGAACCTTCTCTACATAGTGTTTAGAAAACGTTATAGTTAGAGGAGAGAAGAAAGGGGAACGAGAAGGGTTTTATGTATCTGTGACTAGAAAGTGGAGACATGAGAAATGGCAGAGAAGGATTCGAGGAAATTAAAAATACATTTAGTATGACTTGTGCTATTATATATTTGACATAGTTTTTATATTATCTGCAAAAGTAAATGGGTAGATAAGAGTTGCGTCTAACAAAATATGCGTTCGCCGGTGCAAATCTCTGCGCGGTAGACTTCTAGTTTGGTGGAGATACAGTGGGCACTCAATTAGTGATCGATTGTAAACATACACTGGACTGCGGTCACCTCCCGATATACGTATATCTTCCCTTTCTTCGCTTTTTCCTGACCGCTACCGTGTTACATGAGTAGATGATACGCACTGATCGATTCGCCGCATTAAAAAAAAGATGGAACAATTTTTTGACAACTAAGAAGAATTAATACTAGAACTACTAAGCACTTTTCAATATTTGAGGTTATAAAAAGATGGTTATAAAGCATGTAATTTTCCAAACCTTTTCGGTGACGTTTATTTATATGAATATATTTCTAAATGCTTAGAATCCCTTTTTTCTTACGTGGCCTAGTTTTCGAGATGCCCATGTTATACGCCTATTTCTAACAAAAGCGCTCGTTTTGATCCTATTTTTGCTGACTTACCATAGTCGCAAAAAGGAGGAAACGAATCAGAAATTCCGCACACTTTCCGATTGATGAAAAATGTGAGATTGAAAATTCGATGTGATTTGGCTATTTGCACGTCCGCAATATGGGAGAAATTAAAACTAAACCTCGGAGAAACTGCTGACAACTCTTTCATATCTATGTCTACAACTTGTGAAAGATCTTGTGAAAATATTTCTGAAACGCTGTTCGTCAGGATCATCTTCATGTTCAGTCAGAAAATAGTACGGCCACTATTTACGATAAAATTTTAATTCCACCATATCGACAAAGCAGGGGACCAAGCAGCACTAGTCTTAATGTTTAGTAGGGAAGTCTTACAGCAGGACGATTTTAATATCATTTTAATCAGTCTTTATGTTAAAGATTATGGGCATTGAAAATATGTGAGGTTTAAACCAGTTTTTCATAAATTCCATCCAGCGTTGAGTGACGAGTTGAAAAATAAAGTCGTATACAAAAATTAAAAGGAAAGACATACTTATCTACTTATATGAAAAATAAGTTAAAATAATGCGAATAAAATGTCGTTTAAAAGATGAAATTTTTTACTGTAATAGTAAACTTGTTACAAAGCGTTTAGAAAAAGTTCTACGTAAGTCGAAGGATAAGTGTACTTATTTATATCTAAACGTTAACTTAGTATAACGCGGATATAATTTAATTCAAAAAATGAAATGTTCACTTAGAAAAAATTATTTGGGGACAGTTTTTCGTTTCCTCCGGTATGCAATAGTAATACTACTTAAGAGAGTTTTTTCCTTCTTTTTTGTAAGATAATGACATGCGATTCTTGGGTACTTCGTTAAACGGAAGTTATCTGTTGTCGAGCTATTTGTGAACACATCTTTTTTGGTTGATACCTGCGGATAGCATTATGTAGTATATATTGTCAATATACGTTTAGTTTGATTTTTTACTTTCGTTCTAATTCACGTAAATACGGTTCAATCGCTTGGCGAAAACGACGCATTCTGCTCCGAGTTCTTCGTTTCTTATATATAATATTTTTTTTTTGGTTTTTTGATATATTTTAGGCTGAATTACGAACTCTATTTTAAACGAACTTGGAAAATATTATTGTTAAACTTTCAAGCAAACAAATTATTAGGTTTTTGTAATTTTTTTTTATTTAGTGCTAATAAAATTACATAACTAGTTATAGAATAATTAAAATATTTTTAAAAAAATTACCGGAATTCTTCCATGAGTGCTTTGATGTTGACAGTGGGTGGCTAAATTGGATTTTTTCAAGATTTTTAAACTTTTGTATAAAACTCTTCAAAAAGTCTTCCTTTGTGTTTGAAAGTCAGTGACCTTGACCTAATAATCTCCGTAAAAGCTGAGGGTATTTAAAAAGATTTTTATTAAAAGAAAGAAACTTATATTTAATTGTACTTCATAACCAAACTAAAGTTATTAAATAGCAGTTTATAAATAAATACCGGAATTAATTCTATTCTTAAGAGTGTTTGCGATAATTTTGAAAATCGTTGTAAAAAAAATTAAAAAGAGCGACAAATAGACGCCAGGTGAATCGGTTTCCGTATCGAGAAAACTTGGCACTGTTAGTTGACATGAAATGAACTTATATTATATATATATATATATATATATATATAAATATATATGTATACATATATATATGCGTTTATATTGAGATATCTGTTCTGATTTATTTTTTCATTAAGAAAAAATAGAAACGAAAAATATTGATTAGTGTCACGAATGACTGACTGTTATATGACATATGAACTGAAACGAACAGGAAAAAATTCAATTAGTAAATCCATCCGTCATACAATTTATATGCATTTGTCCAAATACATGCGTTACAGTTTTACCGGTAGGCTTACGGCAACGTTTTAAATATTAGTCAAGATTAAATTAAGCGATCAGAATTTTTACCGACTGATATTTAGAACCAACTAAAGTATCGAGCATGTTATAAAGCTAATCAATCTTTAGAGTATAGGCGATACACTGTCATGATTTCTCATATTTAAGCTTCAACACGCTTACACGCTCATCATAATAATTAATTATAATTTGCATTCATTCGCGAAAAAAATTTAAAAAAAAAATTTTTTTTTTCTGCTATCGCTTGCTTCTGTTTGTACCATACTCTATCTGCTAACATGTACCAACGCTGGTGTATGTTGTGCGCACCTACGATTTTTCGATGATAATATTTAAACAACAGCATGAAGACAATTCTATTGTAGACTTACCACTGCCACCACCGCCATCGCCGACACAATTGCAACAATACGAAAATCAAACATATCCGAATACAGTAAATATCACAACAGAACAACAACAACAACAGCAACAACAACTTCACAATCAGCATACACGTACATATAGTAGTTTATCATCATTATCCACGGGCTCCAATATCACCAATTCCTCTCAGTCCCTATCGCCTTTACCGTACAATTGTAATCAGCAACAGCATAATGAAACGACAGCATCAACTTTGTCATTGGATCGTTTTGGCAGTTCACCCATACACTCAAGGCAAACGTCATCATCTTCATCATCGTTAGGCCATGGGGGGGGTGGCACAATCAGCGGCTGCAGTGGTAATGGCGGCGGTGGTGGTTTAGCTGATGGCTCTAATTATATCTCAATGCCACCAGTACCTCCACCACCCCCTTTAACCGTTGAGTCGGACAATGCTCTATGTATGAATTCGCTGAAGCAGCGTCACAATAATAGCAATGCACAACTGCTGCAGAAACAAAATGAAAATGAATTGAATGTATATAATAAAAGCAATGATGGTCAACAGCAGCAGCAGCAACAACAACAACAGCATCTCCAATCACAACGGCAACAACAGCAAGAGCAGCCATTCACACAAAAAGTCTATAATAAATTTTTAAAAGAATATTCAAATAAATTATTAACACAACACTATGACACTAACACTATTGGTAACAATAGCGTTAATAACAACAATAGCACTTTAAAACAACAATTGGAAACAAAAAATCATAACATTAAAACATACATTAGAAACGAAAGTCCTAAACCATTTATATCACCTTCATTATTACCGACACCATCGTCGGCAAACAATACAAGTGTGGCCGCTTTGGCCGCATCTTTCAATAATCAATTGAAATTTGATTCATGCCAGGTTGTTGCACCGAACGCATCAACATCTATAATAGTTAGTTCATCACAAGTAGATAAAGTAAGAGATTCGGTTAATAGTAACTGCAACAGCAACTGCACGACCGTCACCAACGCTACTAACGAAATGTTCCCTACAATGGCTACGATGCCATCGAATATTACCTCCGCCGATAATGGCGATAAACCATTTGAATATGTTACATTAACGGGTAATGTTATACGTAGCGTCGTACCTCCCGGCAAGGGATCGAATGTTAATTACAAGGTAAGTGTCAATCAACAGCAAACATTAAACGCTTAACGCTTAAACGTATTATTATTGTTATTGTTTTTGTTGTATACGTTATGTCAATTGCACGGCTATAAAATATACTAAAATGCATGCCTATTGTGTTTTATATAACAAAAGTTTATTTCTCAATATTTTTAAATTTAAAAAAAAAATTTTTTTTATAATTTCATGTATCATTAGTTATTTTTAATATTTTTATAGTTAAAATGTAATTTATTGAGATCAAAAAATATTAATTAAAATAAAATCAAATATCGTTGAAGAGAAAGAGAAGACGGAAACAATACGCACTCGATACACATATATGTATTCTTCAACAAACGAGAAATCCACATTCATTGACTCGTCTGTTGCCTGTTATTGAGAAGGTCACCATTACAAAAAGTGGGATGGAAAAACTGAACTTCGTGCAATCATGTCTCTTATAATGCAAGTAATTCGCACTATCCTACACGAAAACGATGCATTATACGGTTCTTTGTGTTTTTATGGTCGGGGATAAAGATATCTTGCATTCGCAAGTTGTTTCCCGCCGCCGTGGAATCGTAAATCCGGTTATCTGTATTTATGTAGTTTCGGCCAGACTGGGTGTAATTTGCGAACAATTCGAACTTTTCGGAACGGGTTCTAACCGAGCTTTTATTACGACCTTTGATCTGATATTTTATTTCAATTGGGGGATTCCCTGCAAAGCTTTCACTGGGATCTCTGCAGCTACCGAATTGCCGATTCAAGGGGATGGTAATGAGCCCACGTCTAATCCATCACCATATAACGCGGGGTAGTCCGTTCTATTTTGGTAAAGTAGCTCCAAACAGAGTTCCGAATGAGTAGCACATTGATATTTTTGTTCCACTTTGATTAAATTCTACGCTCTTTTGGAAAAATGATTTCCCATGGCTTACTGCTCACATCTAATCATGAATACATTATCTTTTTATATCTTTAAAATGTCAGCTATCTCTTACAATATCCGTTTTTGATTAATGAGAATAAGTTTTAATGTTTTATGCGAAGTGGTTACTTTTATTGCCGATTGTAATTGTCTGCTTGGGTGCGGCCCTTCGGGGAGTACTCGTGGCGGTTGTGGTTGGCAAGTTCCTAGCCAAAGTGGAACAATTTGAGTGCAGCTAGGCCTCACCACTGACCAGAGTGGGGTTCATTGTTCCATACACAATAAACCGTTCTGGACTCTGGTGTTGTATAGGCGCCTACTCTGTGGGGATTGTCTAACTCGCCAGGGGGCGTAATACGCTTAATGTGGCTTGGGCCACCGTGGGGTTAAGCCTTTCAGGCAGGAACCCACGATAAACCCTTGCTACAAATTCTGTCTGTATGATACAGTTCATAATCGCCAGGTTACATGCTATTAGTTTCCACGGCAAATAGTTACCGTGACAGTTTTCCTGCCAATGCGTTCTGAGGTTGAGTGTGAAAGGTGTTTTCTCCGATCCAGGAGCAAAGTTTAATCAAGGCCCGAAAATCGCACTTTTCCTTTTTTTGAAAGTAAAGGTAGGGTAACCAATGGTCGTAGTGACGTAAGATTTTGACAGGTCGTATAGGGAATTTTCGGAAATAAAATGGATTTTTAGGTGGAGTCGACTTGTATATCAGCATCGGGAATAAAGTCGGCATGATTTAAATCAGTGTAGAATAAATATAAAAACGTCAAAGAAACAGAGACAAGATTAAATATTTTAAAAGGTATACCTTCCCTTGTTTATAAAGGCTAGATATATATGTACATATACTTCGTAATTAGGAAACATGGTTGCAAAATTTATTTAGAATTTAAAGCTGCAGTCTTTGATAGTTTATTCAATGCGCTATCAACATAATAACAAACTTTGTTTAGTACAAAAGCGCTTTGTTATAGGTTGAGTATTCAAAGTAAGCAAATATTTCCTTTTTTTTTAAGAAATGTCAAAAAGAACTTAAATTTGTATAAATATAATTGATCTTTAAACTTTACTTTAAAAAAAAGCATATTTTCTCATTTCTTAAGCATATATTGTTTTCTGTTTTCTTTAAAACAGGTCAGCCAAGGATACGTACGTCCATTTGGTGCTATACCAGCGACTACCACTCCAAGATCATCAGTTATTTATCCACCGCAACCTCAACAATGGAGTGCATCGGCACCCCCACCGACCCAATCGAAGCCAATTAGCAATCCTTACGCCACATTGCCTCGTAGCAATGTAGGACAACAAGGTAAGCTTGCTATGTAGAATATTTGTATATATATGTGCACAAATAAATAGAATATAATATTAATATATTATATATATATATATATATATGTATAAATATTCCATTAAATTATAAAAATGTGATTTATAAAACAAGAGGAAAAATTTATACCAAACTACTTAAGAAACAACTATTAAAATAACAAACTAATTAACGGATCGTTTAGAGAAAGACTTGTTATGAATTCGTCTCAAAGTTTTAATTTGTAGCGAAAAGTAAAAGAAAATTTTATTTTTTTTTTTTTTTAATAATCTATGAATTGAAGTTAAAAATGCTTGTCTTTTATATTTATATATATATATTTTTTTGTGTGTGTGTGTGTGTTTGTGTGTATACGAAACCCCTACGAATGTTATAACATATCCCACAACAAAAACGAAGGTCGCAAAGTTCAATCAATGTACCACAACAGCAACTATAGCAGCAATTACGCAACAACACAATACAAAAAAACTCCCAATTTCGGGGCCAATAGATTTACTGTTATGCCTGTTTCTTATAATAAAGAGTTTAACTACAAAAACAACTACTATAATAAAGGTAAACTCCTTTAGCAAATTGAAAATTAATTTCTTTTTTATTTGCAAAATACTAAAACAGAACACAAAAAAACGCAACTTGCTATATACCTGCTATCTATCTTGCCCTGTCTCTCTCTGCCTTTTAAACCGCATTCTCCTTTCAAAAAAAAAAATTTTAAAAACACCCCAGAGTTTAGTGGAAATCGCTTTAAAATAATTTAAGCAACACTTTGTAAGAAAATTGTTTTTTTAAACCGTGACTTATTATGCGTATGTACATATGTATGCGTAGTTACTGTTTCTTCAAAACCTTAGGTGCAAATAAAGTTGTCAACACTTCTACTCTGTTCTTGCTGTGTATGGATGGTCTGTATGTTACTGTATATATATTTGTATATATATGTGTGTGTACTTATATTCGTGTTGATATTTATTGTATACGCAAAAATGAAGGCTTATTTACATAATTGTGTATTTATCATCTTTACATATACAATTACACATATATACATATCTACAAACGTATGTATAGGTATATACATATGTTTATATATACGGTTATGGATATGTATACATACACACGCCTAGATGCATATCCCTTCGTATGTATTTTTATTTGCTTATAAAGTTGAATATCCTTCAATATTGATACAATAAATTTATTAATTTCCACACATACAAACACTACATATACATATATGTTATACATATATATTTATATATCTATGTATATGTATATACATATATAACATTTTTTAAGAAACTTTTGTGTATGCGTGTGAACGCCTGCGTTGCTTACATGTATAAAAAAATGTTAAATTAAATGTAATATAATAAAGAAAAAAGAATAACCAGAGAGGAAACGGAAACTGACAACAACTGTAACAGAGGTGCATTGCTGTACGATGGTAGTAAAAGTAAATTTCAATACAAGTGCATTCATAATTTGCACCATTCGTTGTACAATTGCGTACGGTCGTAATTTTTCTTTTCCATATTTATGGGATGTATAATTAATAAGGATGTCCTAGATTTGATATTCCAGTCGTTACAGTCTATATATTAAGTATTACTGATATATTTATCCTATGTAGTCTTTGTTGCCATAACAATCCTTGCCCGTCTCAGCAGTAAAAATTGTTTTAGCTGAAGATTGATATCCATTTTCCAAAGCGAGGCAGTTTTGAAAATAAAAGAATGCATAGCCGAATTTTTATTTCTTTATTCGTTCCTCTTTATATTTCGCTGGATGTTGCTATCTGCAATCACGAAATTTTTTAAGAACTTGCGCGTCTGTAAAGTTGACCGTTATTGGTATATATCCCGGTGCACTGTTCGTCCATATATCCCGGGAAGTTTCCTTAAATGCCTGCTGAAAAACAATTAACCCACATTACTTTTAGTAACTAACCCGAAACCCCGAAAATTCCAATATTATAATGTCAAATTTAAGACCTTGATCCGAAAACAGAACAATCCTAATTTTCAAATACGGGTATCAAGGATTCGTCTCAAAGCAGGTCGCATATATCATATTTGTATACGTTTCATTTACATTAATGTGAATTGCAGGCTATCTGTACACAATTTCCATCTGTTTGACTTTCAAAATAAGAGTAAGGGTCATTGCGAAGTTAGGTGTGAAAAAGTTGTTAAACAGAAATAGAAATTGATGGCAACACACCATTCACGAAATTTGTTCGCATTCACGTTGAAATTAACTAGTATACATGTAAAGAAATCGTATACAAACGAGTTTCAGTTTATGAAAAAATACATATTCAGTACAAAAGTAATGAAACTATATATAATTATTTATAAACGAAAGAGTCTGCAGTTATGGGTAAAAAGGAAGTATACATAACAGGAGGTTTTCCTTACCCCCATGCCGAGATAAGTAAGAAATACTGTTCATTATCTTTTTCATCATAAGGGCTTTGTAAAGTAATTGAAAACTGACCTGTAAGGACCACGAAATGTTTCTATATACTTTTGATCGGTAAATAGGTCAGTCTGACAGTATCCCTATGATTTTCTTTCTTGTTAGTTATTGAATAGATCAAGTTGAATTGATTTTTAAAAGTTAAGCCAGTACCCTTTCCCACCCTAAAGCTATTCATGTAACGACTTTTCAACATAAGGCTTTATCCAGAGAGTGCGGCTCGATTCGAACCAGTTTCAATACCGTTCGTCCTGAAGCAAAAATATGTCGATGTACCAAATTTTATCGAAATATCTCGAAAATTTGCAACCTTTAGGTTGAAAAAAAACAAACACGATGGGCTGACAGAGAGATAGACGGACAGACAAGTTCAGCATAATAAAACGTGCGTCCACATCAAGCAAAAATTGGGTGATTAAATCAGTGAGGTGCTTAGCGCGTAGAACACCTTTCTGTCATCGTTTGTTTGCAGAGGAAGGGGGATATGCTATGGAAACATATACGTAATAAGCGAACCTATTTGTAATTTACTTGAACTAACGTATCATAATGTTTTCCGCTTTAAGTACTAACGAATATCTAAAAAATTTCTTTGTAAACTAAATTATCTGTTCTATACATTTTCTTCCCCCATAACTGTAGGTAACTCCTATTGTTGAATGTGAAAAGCCTCCAGCGAATCTTGCCTTCCATTTGGTATATCGGTACTTTCTATCCTGTACTCCATCGAACCTCTAAAAAAGAGGCGTTTACTAAATACTCTTGTTTTTAATTAAAAATATGGTTGAATGATTTGAATATCTTTCCCAATTATTTTCTCTTTCAATGTTTGATTCATTACATGTTTTACTTCAAATAAAAATTAACGAAAGTTGTCTGCATAATTGTAATAATTTCTTTTTTTCTTATGAAGGGTTTCTCCATAAGTGGGATCTCATTCTTATCTTCTTCTTTTAATATTATTATGTTATGACATTAATTATTATACTTTTCCTCGTATCATCTTATGAAAATAGACAAATTTTCCCTTTCCAAACAGGTACGTATTATACAAATTTTTAATCAAAGTCAGGTGTAGCTCTGACAGCAGCGGTCTGATTTTCGTTTACAGTCGCTAGAGAAGATTAATTGAATGTTTTATGAAAAGATTGTACATTCGTCCCTCGCTTGATGCGGTTTGATCGTATCGTGTTAAATCAAAACCTTGTTATACAAACTTTTATTTAAATCATGCCAGATGTACCCTGATAAGCGAGGGATGCCTGTACTTGGAATTAGCCTGGAATGACGAGAATATGAGAGCCTTACGGGAGAGAATGAATAATAATATGAATTTATCGCCTAGTCGATATTATGAAGAACAGCCATCTCTTCGATAATTTAATTTCGAAAAATTTATTCGTGTAGGACGGTGACTATTAGAAGGAAAAGGCCGGAAAGAGTAAGAAATAGGGCGGTAGTGCCCGTGGCGTAGCACTTGTGTGTCCAATCGACAAGTGTTATGCCTTTACCGACTGAGCACACACCGTAGCTACGAGCAAAGAAATATCGATCGCATTTGATATTTGATCCCCGGACACTGACTTGATAGTCGCGGCTCTTATCCACTCGGCTTCTCCGGCATATATTCGTTAATTTTAGGGAAATTATAGAAAGTGTTCTAACAGAAATAATAAATAGAATGTGACCGTTGAGAGGAATCTTTAATAAAAAACCCTTCACTATAGAATATAAAAAAAGTATTAAATTGATTGAAATCATTTTTAATCCTTCTGCCTTTTCATGCGAACTTAATTGTAACATAAAACAGTTTGTTATTTTTAACATTTTTGCTCCGCTTTAATTATATAATCTGCAAAGTGATAGGTTATTTCAAAAATGATTTAAAATACATGTACCCCTTGTAATCAAATTATGAGCGCGAAGTGTTGCTTAAATTTCCCAAATATTATAATAAGTGCTTCTAAATGTATAAAAAGCGCAATAATATTTTACTATAAGATACAGATTATATTGAATTGTTACTTCTGAAAACGCATGCTGCTACGTTCGCTAATACTGATTGCCACTCATTACACCTTCATTACTTTAAGCACAAGCCTTTGTTTAACAATTAGTTTAATTGCTGCTGCTGCTTTCAACAACGAATCTAACATAGAAAAATTTTTTTTCTCTTCTGAACTCTGTATTAAATCAAAAAACAAACTACTAATTTTTTCTGTAAAATACTGATATCACACACATTGCAACAATCAATTGACAATCCATACCATATCCAAACAACATTACCAAATTCGTATTCACATCTACGGTCTGTTGTTGTGTACTACGCTTCTTCTTTTTTTGTTTGAAAACAAAATACCTTGTCCGTCTTCTACGTGCTCGTAATTAGAAGAGCCCTCTGAGCAAAGCTTGCATCCGCAACATGCCGAAACGTATTTTGAGGACGATTACGAAGTTGAGCAGGCAAATAAGCAAAGTCGTGGGCCATTGGTTTGGCCACCTCCTGAGGATGAAAATCGTCGAACTCCCACTGCAACGCCTCTTTATATAGCACCACCGGGAACTCAGCACATTGCTGTCAAGCCACTCGAAGAAAAACCCGTAGAAAAGTTGGAACTATCCATAACGACAGGTAAACACCTTTCCTCTTGTTCAGAAAATCAAGAATCGACCAAATGTCATTGGCAAAGTCGTTCTGCGCCTCAATTAACTAACGCTGTACAGCATACAGAATGTGAATCTGGCTCTGATAGTTACACCTCTACTTCAACTACTACTACCACAACTTCTGAGGAATACCAACGTATGTACGCCGCTCAGGTACATGCTTACCAAATGCAACAGTTATATGAGCAGTCTGGCTCTGACTTCGATTATCACATGGATATGGAAGTGGCTGCAATGCAACAAAGACAGCAAGAGCATCATGAACATTTCAATCTTACCTCTGCTGAGTATTTGTCTGGCCGTCGCAGCACTCAAGAGTGCGCAGAAACTTTGGCTCCTTCATTAAACACTTTTAAATTGGTGGACATGGTAAGAGAAGTTACTCCCAGCCCTGTGCCGCAATCTAACAACCAAGCTTCACGGCATGTGGCATTTGTCGATAAACCCGAAGTAAAAGAAGTCGATTTAATACCGGAGCAACTTAGTGAAGGTAAAGAAGATAATGAATCAAACTCAGATGAACAGTTACCAGAATTACAAAAAGACAACGACACAGAAGAGACTGTTAATGAACAAGACTGTTTAATTAAAGAAGATCGTTCCCAGATACTTGAAAGCCAAAGAATCTTTCAACCTACTCCTGAAATTAAAATAGATATTGCCCCCGTACGTCAGATTCCTCCTACAAAAATTCCTAATCCTGTACCGAAACAATGGATAAATCCCATGGTCGCCGTTTTGACCACAGCACCTGAGGTACCTTTTCATATGATGGATTGTTTGCCCCCACCTACTCCTTGCGACGAGTGCTGTTGTCAAGCTGGAAGCGATCCGGAAGTCGTCAAAGAAATTCCTGATCGCCCACCAAATGATAATGCACCCGAACCCTTTGAAAGACCTCCTTCTGCCGAGCCTGAAGAGACTGTAATATTTCGCGAAAATCCTCCTCAAGGTTCATGGCTAACAAAAGCTATAACCACTGCCCCTGAATTTCCGTTGAAGTTTGTCCCACCTTCTTCACAAGGTATACCTTTACCCGAAGAAACTGAAGCCTACATGCCCCCTCCTATCGATATGAAACCTTACCTGCGTGAAGACTATCGACCCAAGTCACCTTTTGTCAGTGCCCTTACAGTTGCCCCAGAACGACCATTCGAAGGTCATTTCGATCGCGATGTACCCATACATCTGTTGGATTTACCTACTCCTAAAGAGCGATTGACTCTAACCGATGCTTTGGCCACGGCGCCTGAGCGGCCCTACACACCACTCAATCCTGAAAATGCTACTCATATGTTTGAAGAAAAACAAAAAGAACAAGAAAAGAAAAAATTGCAATTTCAAATACTGGATAGGGAAGAAGAGCTTGGTCTAAGGAAAGAGACAGCAATGGAATTTTACACAACCGAGAGAAAACAAAGTAAAGCATTTGCGGCCATGCAAGCATTCCAGTGTTCCCGCGAACCTTTGTCCTCTACAGATCCTCCAAAACATTCATTGTCCTATGCAAAAGATGAAACCAATCTCGAATTTCAAAAGTATTGCAGCGCTCACGAGCGCTATCATAAAAGACGTGATTATTTCACAAAAAAGGAGCAAGAGCTCCAAGAGCAACTAAAACAACAACAACAACAGCAACAACAAACCAACATTAGAACCACACAGCAAACTAACAAACGTGACGAGTCCACTTTATATTCCTCTGCCAAACAAAGCTCTTCCACTAACTCCTCTTCCGCAGTCCAACAAATGTCCATCAGATCACATGCTTCCTCGAATTTAACTCAAGAGCAAAAGTCATCGTATTCCTCCACATATGAATCCGCAACTGCTAAAACCGTTTCCTCAAAGATCGATACCCAAGAAATCATTCAAGAGACGGCTGAAGATCTTGAACACTCTGAAGTGATATTTCCACCACCGTCCCCGCTTAGTCACATGAAGCAAAAAGCAACATTATCTGGTCTCCACCGACCAGAAACCTTGCCAAAATATCAACGTAACTGGACAGTCTTGCCTACTCAAAGCCCTGTGCGCACTCCTGAACCGTCTGAATTGCGTGAAAACGTCCCCCTAGCTTTTGTAGATACACCCAAAACTCCTAGAGTGGCAGATGGAGTTGAGAGCAATGCTGTGCATAAGCCTGTGGCTAAATTGTGCGCACAAACAAGTGCAAGTTCCACTGTTGCCCAAAGTTCAATCACAAGTGCTTCAACTGTCTCAAATTATCAACAAAGAGTCAGTGAACAAAGGCAACAGCAATCTGCAACCTTGGCAAATTCGAACGCTTGTACGCAACACACGGTGCCTACCACCGTACCTATTATAATTGAAGACCGGTCTGGCCCAGTAACAATGGCTTTTCAATCTATAGATGAACACATGATTAGGGATGAATCGCAGACACCATCCAGACCATATACGCCATCTTCTTTCACGAATAAGCCGGCGCCTATAATTCCACCCTATCAAACACCCGAAAAGTTATGCTTTGATGAATGTGCCCCAACTCACGGTAAACTTTATGATCGTTGTTCAGTATCTCCTTTGCCAGATCGTGCACGTTCCCCAGCTCCTGGTCCGCCACCAAATCCATTGGCAGCTATACGAGCACCCCGATTAAAGGACGATGAAATGGCATCTGTCTCACAACGTATGTTGCAGGCGGGATCTATTACCACAGGTCAAAGTTATTTAGGGGCTCAACAAGCAAAACAACAGGGTCAACTTTTGGCTCACACTGAGACCAGCAGCCAATCGGCTATGCAAAGCTATATGGAAAAACCTGAGAAACATGATCAATTGAAAGTCGGTAACGTTGTGGTACAAAAAACCGAGAAAGAATCCCGATTGGAAGAACAAAAACAAAGCCAATTGGAAAGTCACACAAAAACGCAAATGGGTAACGTACAAATAGAGCGCAGACGCAAAGTAACTGAAGAATTCGAACATACTTCAAGTGCAAAAACAACTGAAATACGTACTGGATCTCAGAATGCGAGTTCTGAACGTCGCCAAAGCTATGGAAAAACCGGATATGTCGCTAATCAAGCAAAACGTTTGTCGGGTTTGGAAGAAGAAATTTCAAACTTAAGTAGCCAATCGCAGGCCATTAGTGCTCGCGCTGCCAACTTGACAGAAACAAAATTTCCTGAAGTCCATGGTGAAGGAGGTGCTGCACTTTTCCCAAGTAAACCAATGGTACCTTCTTACAGTGAATCTAAAACCGCGAGTTATGTCGTTTCTGGAGCTCCTGATATCAAAATGGTTAGTTCGTTTGCAGGCAAAACAATGCAACCCCAAGAGCACCTGTCAAATGTGCATGAAGCATCTGTGGTTTCCGCAAAGCAACAACAACAGAAATCATTAAGCGCATATTCAAGTAACATTTCATCTTCAGTCGCATCATGCTCACAACAACAACAACAAAGACAAGCTAACGCCGTTAGCTGCAGTTTAACTAAAGCTTCTGCTACTAATCAAGCTTATGCGACTAGCATCGCCACTAACCAATACACAAGCACTACGTCTCAAAACGTATGCCCAACAATGGGCGCTTTGTGTGGCTCTCGTGACACTTGCTGCAAATCGCAGCAGCCGGTACAAACGCCGTCTGTGAACAACTACAATAACAACTATCGGCCAAACGCTTCTGCAGGTTTAACTGATTTTGAACCACCGCAAACTAGAGCTACAAGCTTTGCAGCACCACAGTCAGTAATGCAAACACCATTAACAGCACCAGCTCCGACTACAACAGCTGTTCCAACATCAACTAACTATAATATTGGATCTAATGTTGCTGATGGTTCTTCAGGTGGAATGGCTTCTAAAGGTGGCGCTTATGGAGCTACTTCGGCTCCTAAACGTGGACGAGGCATTATAAATAAAGCCGTCGGACCCGGGGTCCGAGTGCCATTGTGCAACAGTTGCAATACCCAGATCAGGTGAACACTAAGCAAGCATGTTCCAATTTAAGCATTTTCAGAAATTCAAGAGATGTTACTTTTCGAATGTGACTGTTATGTTAATTCAAGTTCCCTTTTTTTTTAATATTTTGAAGAGTAATTTGCATGATTTCTATATCTTACTAACCTCGGCAACTGTTCTCTTTGTCTTGTGTTGTTCTCATTTTTCCAGAGCCTGCCCTAAAGATGGGTAATATTAGTGGCACTTTGCCCAGTCGTAAGTCCAGTAATGCTTTAAGTAGTTCTAAGGTTAAATACGCTTTGCCTACTAAAACTGAAACACTTGAGCACATTCTCGCGCCCGATGATGAAGCTACTGTCATGTTGTCCGAATCGATTGGTAAAATGAATTTGGGGACGAAAACGAATAATTTTATGATCGAGGCCGGTAAAGTGATATCCGATATGTTGGAAGCTCGTTTGGCCAACGGGGGACCACCTTTGCAGAGCAAGAATAATTTAAATTCGCTTAATAACCAAACATCTACTTCGCCCCGAAGTCCTTTAGTTGCGAGAAAACGCTTGGATCTTGATAATTTCAAAGAAATTAACCCCACCGAGCCAGCAGCTTTAAAACCAGTGGGAACGCTTCAGCAGACTCTCGAAAGAAACCCAAACCAGAACCAACAAAGCTCGACTGAAGTCATAAACGCAGGAAAACTATTAACCAACCATCCTACGAACCAAGCGCTGGACATGTGCGATAATAAAAGCAAGTCTTTGTCTTTCATAACTGGACATTCCAAACATGAAAGCAAGAATGCAGAGACTTTGCAGCCTTTGGCATCAATCGCATTGACGAATGCAGATCCTTTGCCACACTCAGAAACTGTGATATATCGTAACAATGGAGGTTCAAACCGTCGAGCCAGCCATGCGACCGATAGGCGTTCTTATATTGAAAACAATACGCAACAAAATCGCACCAATAACAATGATTGTACTCAACATAATTCGGGCTTTGGAATATACGTGAAGGCTTTAGGAAGCACAAATTCTGATAGACCCATGTCGGCGGAAAATGAAGAAGTCGTAAGTCAGTTGGTTAAGGATGGTAAGAGACCTATGTGTTGTCAGTGCCATAAAGAGATTACAGCGTAAGTATTCTGCTTGTGCTTAGTGAGGTTCATGTTAAAATTTTTATTAGAAGCAAGCTATATAACAAAACGCATGCCTTCCTTACATATGTATGACAAGCGAAAGTAATTTTGATGAAAATAATTTTTATTGTTGTTGAAATACATAGGGGTCCTTTCATTACCGCTTTGGGTCGTATATGGTGCCCCGAACATTTCATTTGTGTTAATGCGAATTGTCGCCGTGCCTTGCAGGATATAGGCTTTGTAGAAGAAAAGGGCGACTTGTACTGTGAGTATTGTTTCGAAAAATACTTAGCTCCTACTTGCAGTAAATGCGGGAACAAAATTAAGGTTTGCATTAAAATCAAAAAAAGCATTCTTTAAAAAATATGTATACAAACGAAATGGTTTTCTTCTGTCTAAACCAGGGTGATTGCTTAAATGCTATTGGCAAGCACTTCCACCCCGAATGCTTTAATTGTGCTCACTGTGGTAAATTGTTCGGCAATACACCCTTCTTCCTTGAAGATGGTAATCCTTACTGTGAGGCCGATTGGAATGAGCTATTTACAACTAAATGCTTTGCTTGTGGTTTCCCAGTTGAAGCGGGCGATCGATGGGTAGAGGCTTTGAATCACAACTATCATAGCCAGTGTTTCAATTGCACCGTAAGTGTAATATATTATTATTTGTCTTCAAAAGTGAAAAAATGTACAATTATTCTCTTTTTCTTTTTTCTATATAATTTATTTTAAAAAAGTATTGTAAACAAAACTTGGAAGGTCAAAGCTTCTACAATAAAGGCGGTCGTCCCTTCTGTAAAAATCATGCCCGTTAACTGACTCCGTGTATGCCTTAATGCATCTGTAATATTTAAGAGAATGTTATAACATAGTTCTTCCCGGCGTATAAGTACCGATCTTACATGTAACACATAACGCTCGGCATCATCAGGGATAATTTATGCACATAAAAAGTTTATTGTTTCTTGGACAATACCAATATAAATATAATTTAAATCTTTAATTAGCAAAGGGTTAAAACAAGAAAAAACAAAAAAGAAAACTTGTCTTAATTTATGATTAATAACTAAATAACTAAAAGATGATAAAGGCGAAGAGGATTACATTTTTAAAGTTTAGCTTATTTTAAATAATATTTTCATTTATTTCATAACTGATCGAACATATTTTCAAACTATTAATTGATGCTTCAAGAAAATGTTGCTTAATTTTTAATTAATTTTAAAATCCTATTTTCAAACACTAATTCCAATCGATATCCCTTACGATTACTTTTAAAACTTTGCAATAATGACATTGTGTCTTAAGTTTAATTTTTTTCGATCTAAATAAAATTATTTTCAAAACTTTCCCTGACGGAGAGAAACGCTTTTTATTGATTTTCTTTGCCAATATTACACAATTTTTTTATGGTAAGTGCTAGGAAATAAGTTGGTGAGCTTTCAATGCCATTATAACAGCAACTTTCCTTGAATTATTTTAAGGAAGTAGATAATGATTTCCTTTGATTGCTTAATAGTTCGTCTCACGGCGTCTGCCAGAAGAATAGCGAATTGAATTAAGGTCTCGGAATTTAACTTACTCTCCAGCTCGAAATAATACTTTTCTACGGATGTTAGAGGTGTCTCCGTAGCAAACAAGCGTCAAAAGTAAATAAAGGGAAGGAAAGGAAATTATATACCATTAGTGGCCTTATCGTAACATCAACCAGCATCAAAAATTAAGAACTGTAGAGAGGAAATTGTTAATTGTGAAATTTTGTGAAGTCCAGCCTAGTTTCAAATCTTATGCCTGACTTTAAGGTAAGTGAAAAGTTCAAAATCGGAACCTGTTGATGTCTACTTGATGCTTTGATGATTTGCTCCAACGCCTTTAAAGAACTTCCAGTAACACTAAACCTTTAGTTAAAATGTTAATGATCGCAATTCCCGTCTTTAAGCAATAACGCTTCTGTTAACAAGGTCGCCGCGTGGACATTGCAATACTATCGGCAATTATCGAGCAGAGGAACTGGCTTTTGTTTAATCTCTCATATACCATGAATATCATCGGTATCAAACTGTGATTATCAATAAGGAATGAACAAGCAGCTGTGAACTCTGTTAAAAAGATGTTATGTGTACGGAAAAAAACAATTACTTTCACTTCCAAACTGAATTTGGCACCGAGAGCAGGCGCTATCAGAGGACAATCGAAATAGCCTCACTTATTGCCTTCTTGCTGGATCAATACAATGTCGACAAAGAGTAAAGGGTTTGAAGACTTCTCCGATTTCGTTATCAAAAATATCAATAAATTCATAATTTAAGCGAGGCGTATGCTGCAAACACCTTACAAGAGCGCACGAATTCTACTTGCTTCTACTTGCTTTCATGTCTTAGCTTGTTGATCATGCACATTCTCTCAAAGAACCTTTCCGGTAACTTTGTCACTCTTAAACAATGGGACGGTTATGCTCTAATGGGGGCATGAGCTTAATAAAGTTTCGCTACTGAATATTCAACGAAAACCGAATGTCTAATCTCATGTTCCGTGTAATCTTCTTGAAAATTTTTATATAATCAAATACAAATCGCGTCCTTATGATTCTTTGTAGTCAATATAGTTGATCGTTAGAAACGAGCTTTTCTTGCTTGCCAAATAAAATTTTTGAATTAACTTCCTTTTGTCAATTACGGTGTTTCCACCTTCTCATACCTATACATAAGCCTTTCTAGAATCACTTTTATACTTTACGCCTCATACTTTCAATTCTCTATCCACGCCAAACAGGGAATCGAAACCAAACCACAACGTCAATAAAACGTCTCTTCTCTTGAACATTAAAAGCTATTGAACGGATTAAAAAATTCCAGCCAAAAAATCAATACAATCGTAATGCTTTTTAAATGTTTTCATGCTTATCCCAAATTAGTATAAATAGACTCATATAAATAGTATACGTGCATGTAGAAAAGAAATGATAATTCTGTCACATTCTGACAATTCGATGCTATTAATGTAAAGGAAGGAAAATCAACAGTGATGTATGTATACTCATCACCAAAAGATGGAGGAAATATTCCTTTTGTCAAAACGTTTGCAACGCCCGGAACGAAGCTTCAGAAAACTCGGAAAGGTATATACGTTCTTGCTCAGCATCAAACACTGAATTGATTTACCAATGTCCGGCAGAGTAACGACAGTTGGCCGCAAAAGCAAAGCTATGGACTTTAAATTTAATAGAAACATTGAAGTCGAAGGACAGGCGTACGGTATCACGTAAGTAGAGAACAGTTTTATTCTTCAAAAGGAACAAAAAATAGGTTTTTTGGTTATTACTCGTAAACTACGGCAGATAAATGTACAAAAATTTGAGCGTGTATTCTATGGGCGATGCGATAACAGCTGTGCAAAAAAAGTGAAAAATTGACCCCTCTCATCAAATACTGTAGTGTATCAAAATTTAATATTCTTTCCAACACCTTTACAAGGCGGCGAAGCAAGCTTCAAAAAGCTCTTAAGGTATATAAATTCTTGGCCAGTTTCAATTTTGGAATGCCTAGCTATGTGGTTGGTAAAAACTCTCCTGTTCGCAAAAATTAAGTTATCGCCTACAAAACATGCAGATTTTGAAAGGACACCTACCCACCCCTGACCCACCAGGTCAAAGGACACGCCTACCCCACGCGTAAGCAAAAGAAATTGAAAAAATCTTTGCTTTACGTGTTTTTGGCCGTTGCTCATAAACTACGGCAGATAAACTTTATGCATATTTTCACAAAGTTAGTCCACACAAACGAAAAAAATCAGCCGCGCCTATCCAATATTATGAAGTATGAATATTTAGTTCCTTTCCTTTATTTTGGTTTTCTTTAGGATAACGGCGAGCAGTGCAGAAGATTCGGTCACACCTAAATATAATTTATTTTAGTGCAATTTTAGTTTCACTTAGCAGTCAAAAGTCAAACGACATCTGCTTTATGTGTAATCTGCACATATGAGATAAACGTAAGAAACGCACAATCAACGATTGTAGAAATTGCATTAAATTCGTTTCGTGTTTCGTTGAGAAATAAATTGTTTATGAGATTTTGATAATTTGTTTAGGATCATAACATTTTTACATAGCCTTTAGCAAGCACTCAAAGTTCAATTTAAGGGCTAGGGCTTTCGAGAACACATTAGTAATATCGAGCGCTCCCTATATAAAAAACGTATGTCCTAAAAATGAACTCAAATGAATTACGAACAAATTGAATCTTCGCTGTTGCATTCCCAAATGAAGGTAAGTTTTATTTAAATATTGAATCCTTACCTAAAGTAGACTTATTGTATTTCACTTATCAATTCGTAGAAAACGGAAACTGTTTGTGTTTCTATTCAAATAGGAAAAAGCAAAAGCAATCATTACCTTACCTTAAAAGGTGTACTGGCCACTACGGTGCGCTGGTTAAAATAGTTAATTACAGTATCTCAGATATTGTAATAGCGCGTCCACCGTATAGCAGATTTCAATTCTGCTCTGTAAACGCTTTAATGAAAATGATCAACAACTCTACATTTCGGGTAAAAATTAATATATGGAACGTATGTTACTTAAGCGATAACGTAAATTGACAGTTGCGAAGCATTGCTCTCACATTTGCTTTGCATCCCCGGCGTAGGTGTACTACCCTCAAATCTACCGGCAATCTTTTACTTATGTATTTTGTTATGCGAGATGTGACCTGGTAATGGCTAAAGAAATAAACAAATAGAATGAGGCGTTATTGGTTAAAAATTTGTGCGGAGATATCTTACGTTTTATTTCATAATTTTTTATGGGTTCCCTTGAATGTAATCGCATTAATTTTACTTGATGCATACACTACACACTACAGCTACGCCCTATTTTTTCTACTCTTCCGTCTCCGAGCTAGACAAGGTTCTTTCTTAATGTGATATGAGATTTATTCCACGAAATATTGCTCTGTTTATTGGCTCACCTTACATCAAAACCACCCCATATAAATATTCGCATAATATTTGTTAAAAAAAAAAGGAAACACATAATCCAAATTTCTAACACATTGCTTATATTTTAAAAGAGTTTTACTAAATAAAATATGTGCTATCACATGTGAATATACTTCCCTCATTGCTTTATTCAAAAATGGTGAAAATTCGTTTTATTAAATTTTTCATTGTTATACTTTGCACTATGTGTGGTTCAAGTATATATAGTTTCTGCGGATGTGTTCAACGTAGAGGAAGACTTGTCTGTCCGTCTATTCGTCTTGTGTTTAACCTGCAGGCCATATTTCTTAAAATATTTTGAGGAAGCTTAGTATCTTAGCTTTTTTTGACCAAAGAACGAACGCTATTAAAAATGGTTCGAAACGGAGCAGCTTTTCGACCACTTCCCATACGGCACCTTATTTTTAAAGGTCATTATGTGAGTGATTGTATGTGGTGTAGGGAGGACCGAATACTGTGTTTTTACTTGTTAATTCATACATTACCTAAATATCAGTTGATCACTGTTCTTGGCTCCACAGCGACTAAATCTGCCATTCTTCTCATTTTGTTAAAAATTTTATTAACTTTGTCAACGATTGCCCAGCAACGGTGTGTTTTAAACATCGATACCATTTACGCGTCGAATGATTTTCATAAAGCACCTTCATCACAAACATCATAAATTTTCTTCTTAATTCTGCGAGACGTTATTGCCTTGTTCAAAGTGTTATTGTAATATACGTATATAATAAAATATATGGAGTTTTTGTTGAGATTTTGACTCTTTGTTTTTGGTTGCATGTTAAATGATAATAAGCACAGTAGTGCGGCTCGATATGATTATTGAAATGGAGCGCAAGAGTCAGTCATTGCGAAAGACTTGATTTTAATTTCATTGACCTAAGCGTTGCGGAAAGTCCTACAACCACATAATTGATAAACGTTAAAATCATAGTTATAACAAAAAACCGCAGTTTTTTTTTCTTTTATTTGATTGGTGTGGGAACATGATAAAGTGTAAGGTCCGATTCCCACTTTTTTTTTTTGCAAAACTATCGTTTTCTTGTTTAACAAAACTTTTAAAAAAACTAATAACTTGAAGCCGATACATATAAAGTCTCTGATTAAAGGCACCACGTATATATCAAGATTGTTAAATTTTAAAGCATTGGCCTAGAAGAAAAAAATGAGAAATTTAATGCCCATACACGCGAGAATCTTAATAAAACCATTGAGCCCATTATATATTTTTTGCTAACAATTTTTATATACATTTATTAAATAATTAAATTTTATTATTTGTAAATATATTTTTAAAAAGAGAAATGTACATATAAAACAATTCCTTTGTAAAACAAAAGGAAGAAAAAAGTTAAGCTAAAAAAATGTCAGTTAAACAATTAATAAAGCACACATAATTAAGCTATTCTTATTGCTGGTACTTAGTAAGAGGATGTACAAATACTACGCGTTTATATATAAAAAGAAAATAACATTTTTTACAAATCCTCGTTGAACCAAAGAAAGAAAAAATCGAATTAATACATTTATTTTAATTTTTCTTTACATATTTGCACATTTTTATATACAGTTAAAGAACAAAATATAAAAAAAAATTAGGTAAATTATGAATTATTTTATGTATCTTTCCTAAGTTTAGCCTAAATAACCTTTGGACTGTTAATGAGAAATATAACATTAGAGATATGTTACAATATATATATAAATCATGCCTACTACCCCTGCACACAAATTCGAGCATAACAACAATACAAATACAATAGAAAGTTACTATAGTTTTTTCACGTATAATTGAAGTTTTTAGCGGATTAATGTTGCATATGTTACTTTTTGTATTGGGGCGTATTGATTGTGTAAGTACTAAAGATATTATAAATGTGCTAGAATTTCTGTTTGTTCCGTTGTGATCGCCTCATCAATAGTTGTGGTTGATGCGGTCGTGGTGATGGTGGTGGCGCTATTGGTTGCTAACGTTGATGCAATTGTCTCATTTCCATTTCCCATTCCATTGGGCGCTGTGATCGTAACTATAGTAACCATGTCCTGATTATCCTCATTTATGTTTAATTTATCTTTTGTTCTTCGCTCCTTTACCGTACATTTTTCTTCCATTCCATCAAAGTCTTTTTTATTCGATTTCTGTTCTCTGCTAATAGCAGTAGCTCTGGCAGCAGCACGCCTCTGCTGCAATGAACTGTATTCAGATACTTGTTCGACACTTAAAGGCTCGGGAATATCTTCGTTGGCTAAAAGTCTGCCTGATGGTTCAATTTCAATGCTACGATCGTTACTTATCGTACCAGGAGTAATATTACGTGAACGATAACTGGGCGGAAAACTATACTCTGAGCCACCGATACTACTCGCTGTACCACGTACGGTGCTAGTTAAAGGGGCTCTGGAAAATAAAAGATGGTAAGCGGTCATTAGAAGCTTCTTTAAATTCTTACTATAAACTAATGATACTCTCTTTATGTTGCCGCGTATTAGTTTCTGCTAAATTGTTAAACTATACTAAGTTAATGAAGAACTTAAGATGGTTAATTCTTACCGCAATGCTACATAATTTTGGATCTTGCCATTCCAGGTTAGAAGGCTATATTTTTCAACTCTGTTTCACATTTTAGCAGACTTAAGTCTCTTTTCATGACATGAAACCTTGCTATTCGAAGTTCTGGAAGGGAAAAGAAGACCAGCCGCAAAAGTTAAATGTCTTAATACGAAATGCCTTCGATCCACGCTTAACTTATGAAGCTGCTCGATGCTTTCTAGCCTACCACTCTATTCGCTAAAAGCCTGTAATTCATATCTATTAACTTAGGGCAGCTCTTTAAAAAAGATAACGCTATTTAATTCCGGACATCCTCTATAAGGATGTAAATGTAGTTAATGAAAATCAATAACCATTTATGCGCTGTTAAAAACAAAAAAATTTTATTTTCCTTTTAAAAGAAATACGGTCAGAAAGAAGCGAGAAAAGAGAATGTGATAGGGAAGCAGCAGGACGAGTATGTGCCCAATCGATAGGTGCTATGCTTTAATCCACCGAGCACTCACTGCATCTACGACCAAAGTAAGCTCGTACGAATCGAGTTTTGAACCCGCGAGCACTGACTTTGTAGTCGCAGCAATTCACACCTACTCGGCTACTCAAGCATATCAACAAATTTACCTAATGTCGCGGTCTCATGGTCAGAAAAATTGATGAAAATAGATGAAAATTTATTGCGCTTCTTATACATATATACGTATAAGAATTCAAGAAAATTACAAAGAACAACGTAACATTTATTAAGAACGTTAATGAAGTTAATCAAGAATACAAATGTTATTACATAAGCACTAAGATATAGACATATGAATAAGGCAGAATATGTTCCTTAGATAGTACAAGGTAGACGTGTTTATAAAATCGGTACGTAGTAGAGAATAGACTAGACATAATCCATCTAATCTAGTGATTTAGCGATATACTTTCATACTCGTCAAACACAAAGCATGTGTAATATAAAATCAGATTGTAATGAAACGACTTGACAAAATAAGAGTAACAAAAGTATTTTAAAAAACGCATCAGTATGATAAAATGTTAAGAGAAAATTGGACAAGGACGGATCACACACAGTTAACTAGTAACTCAATGTAACTTCAGTATAAAGGCAATCATCACTGCGCTTACACTGCTTTAAAGGTCGATGTTAGGGTATCATATCCTCTGCTTATCAACAAATGCAGCCAAATATGTTAATCGCGTTTACCTAGTCAGTGTTTTCTAAAGTACCTTTTCAAGTGTTCGTCAACCACTGTTAACTGATTAAATGCAAAGACGGGCGAATAATTTACCTAGTCAGTGTTTTCTGAAGTACCTTTTCAAGTGTTCGTCAACCACTGTTAACTGATTAATTGCACAGAAGCACAACAGGTTTTCCTGTTGTTGATGGGTTAACTTGTTGCCAACTACTCCGACTATGCTTAGCAATTAAAAAAAAAAAGAAGAAAGGCCACAAACAACTGTAATGTACAATATTCTCATTAAGATATGTGGCCTAGGGACCTATTGGCATTACGTTATTATTTGTGTGGAACACTGAATCTTTTTTGAGCTTTAGAAACGTCGCTTTAATCCAAGCAGTTTTTCGTTTCTGAAAAGAACTATGTATGACATGTATATATATACGTCACGACCCGCCAAACCGTCCTTGTCGGACTTTCTCATAAAAATTTTATCATCACGAATGTGTATTTACCATAATTATTTTTAATCATTTTATAACACGTTTTTGTCATTTCATCAAGTCGTTCCTTTGCAACCTACTTTCATATGATACATTCTCTGTGTATAAGAGCATGTCGCTAAAGAGGTCGGAACAGTTAATAGGATAAGGTAAGAAGTTTCAACGATGGTTTTGTAAAATCCTTTAAAGTAATTTCAAGTAATGCGAACTATATTTTTGAGTTTTCATTATCCTTAAGTTCTTGAACCTTATAATCATATACTATAGCTTAAGATTTCGAATACTGACGGAGCAAACTATTTTTCTTGTTCCAACGAATCAATCATTAAACCAGTACTAAAGCGTACTCATATGCAAAACAATACATGTCTATTCTTTCTCCATAAGAAATTTTGTCTATTTTCTTGTCCTTCAAAAATTTCAATTGTTTCAAACGGCACGAGCCTGTAAAGTTTAACTACAAACTTTTTACATGTACTTAATGTCCATTAATGTGTTTTTGTTTCGGTTTTATATCATTTGCTGTAAATGCCTGCAGAGACCAACGCAGAGCAGAACAGAGAGACTGGCGTCAGGCCAATAGGGTAAATACATTCGTATTGAATTGAGTTGGCGAGTGCGAGCGACTAGCTGGCACAATAGTAACATTTTCACACAGTCCGAAGGACAAAGTTGTTCGTGTTAACACTGTGAAAACCCATTAAGCCAACTATTTTAAATTACTTTTTGTTTTAGTGTAATTGTTACTAGTCGCCGTTTATGTTTAAATATGCTTGTGTACATCGGTATGTTGTTGCAATCGTTCATGTATTTACGCACTCACATAATAGGGTAAGGCAGACAGAGAGCAAGTTACTAGTAGATCCGCAAATGCAAAAACTAAACTGGGTTCATATTCAAAACAGTTGCAGACTTGAATTGTTCTAATTGAATTTGCTTTCTCAAGGAACAAATTAACATTTTGTTCATTTAAACAAATTGAAATCATTTGCGTCAAGTTCTTGTTCGTTTAAAAGTTGTGCTCTTTTTTTTTGCTTTATTTCTTTCTTTCCGTTCTTTTTGCTCAGTCTCACACATGTTGGTAAAAAAAAATAAAACTTACCTTAATAGACTTCCGGCATGAGAACGATAAGTAGGCGGTGGTGAACTCCCACGCACAACACCACTCTGACGATCACGGTCCAGTAACAATAGTCTGCAATGAATTAAACAGTTAAAGGAACATTTTTTGTTACATAGATTTATAACAAATGTTTAAAGGACATGCAATCATTAGAAACGGTAGTAACAAAGAGAGGCTATTGTATATGTTTGTTACACATTGCAACAAGAAATGGTCTCGTAAAACATGCTCAACTTTTGTTCCGAAAATTTTTACAATTCAAACCGCATTTGTTGTGACGTAAGCAACAACAACATACCGTTTGTTCATCTCCTTATGTAATGAATGAAAGAGTGGGCGGAAGGAATAAAGGGAAATGGTATGCTTTTATTACCTTAAACGATATTCTTGCATGCTAGCCTGATAGGAAGGCGGCGGTGGTCGATGTTGAAATTCTGGATATAATAAACCTTGCGGTGCACCGCCACCTCGACTGCAAGGACGACGGCCGCAACGTCCTAAATCGACACCAGAACTTAAACCTAAGCAAGGGGGTCCTCCCGGTGCGGTCATACGCCAAGCTGCTCCACTTACCGTAACCAATACAACACCAACACCTAAAATTCATGCAATAATTAATCATAAGTTCTATCATTAGTGCAGCGCGTAAAATATTGAAAAAATGTTTGAAACGAAGAGCAATTTTGTGGTTTTTTGGTGGTAGGAAAAAATGTAATTTGTGAAAACAATTTTTTGTAAAATTACAGATAACGATATTGGTGTCTGATAGCTGACAGGTGCTGCAAGATTTTACATTCATGTATAGTTAACAGGATTAGCTTTCAAAAAGGCCGAAAAACTAACGAAATGCTAACAGGATTTGACTGTCACAGCGTGCATGAAGACCGCCATGAAACACGAGCAGTATTTACGAGACAAGAGGAATCACAGATCTTTCACCGCACATAGCGATTGTGAGTCAGCAAAGCTGACCTAGCAAATTTCTCTAAGCATTTAATCGCGAAGATATTTGCCGAGCTTAAAGTATTATTATCATTCCGAGTCGAATTATGCAAATTTTATCTTAAAAAGATAACAGCTGGAGTGTTGTATATTCGCTTTTGCCAGAAGTGCACTCTACCATAGTGGATGATCATAATTATTTGTTGGTGAATGCAAAATTTACTTTGCTAAGTTAGATTCGATACATTTGGTTGCTTCAATTCGATCACTAGAACAAGGGATGCAGTTAACCATTTTAAATGAAGGGAACTTAGTTCGGTCAGAGGATAAGTAGCATTTATATAAGTAGTAAAAAAAACAACTCATCTTTCATTCGAATTCGGAACGTCAATGTCTCCCCACTCAGGTTTCCGATCCCCAACGTATTTCTTGTTCTCTTCTCGTAAGAAATAGTTTGAAGCTATATTAAGAATCAAGTGGTCTTCAGCACTTCCTGGCATAAAGCTATGTCTACGAAAATAGCGACGAAAAAATCTTGAACGAGAAGGAGAAATTTTGAAAATTTCTCTACCGGTTTAACAGAGCTCAGTTAACATTTTTTGGCTTTTGTCTTTGTTAGTTAAATTTAAATATTATTTCACACCCTTCGTTTGAGGTGATGTTCTCTTCGAATCTACCTTTAATGTGTGGCACGCTTTTGATCCATTCTTTTTACTCATTTTCATCATTGCTGCTTGATATCTACAGATCGCGGTCCGCGAAGAAGACGCTTCGCTCAGTTTCAAAATGGCTACGAATGACTTTTTCTGATCAGTTTGAGTGGAAACTTAACTCTATTAAGAAGAATACAAACACTCTCTCTACGAAAAAGTGACTTCAGCCAACAAAAACTAATAGGTTACAGGAAAATTCAGGACGATTTTAACAAAGTTCAAACAAATACTTCTCAAAGTTTAAATGATTTGAATTAGGCCAAGTACACGTATATAGTATTCCTGCAGAGAAATTAAGCTAGAGCGGCTTGGTAAACGAATAAATAGACGTCATGTGAGAGAATTCGAATCGCTTTATATCTAAGGTGTAATAATTCTCTGCCATTGCGCTTGTGATTGGGTTATACTCGATGCGAAAGTGTAAATATTGTGAGGATTCTTGCAAGCATTTTGTAGGTAAATGAAGGGAGTTTAATAAGGTAGACCAGCCTTCTACTGAGAATAGGGATAAAAAAATCGAAATTTTACAAAAGGTACACGTTTATGGTGTCCCTCAACAAAAACGAAGCAAAAAAAAGAGAAAGCTTTAATTCGCCTTCCAAGCAAAACTATACAAAACGCATAGTAATACTATATATAATTTATTACAAACCTAAAAACGTCTTCAAGCTGCTGGCATTCGTTAACCCCAAAACGAAAAAAAAGAAAGAAACAATTTAACACCACGACACTGCCAAACAAAAAAAAAAAAAAAAATATCATAATCATACTAAAGCAGATATGTATCTAAAATCGCAATTAATGTAATGCTGCCTTCAGAGTCTTTAAAAAAAGGTAACTACGAGAGATAACAACATGCACAAAATTTCCAAATGTTAAATAATTTCATACGAACGCCTCGTAACGAACTAACTATTCTGTAAGTGAAAGCTTTTATTCGAACACTTAAAGTTATTAAATTATTATATAAAATCAAGCAGTTTATGTAATTTTACAAGATAAAAGAGATATGTTATAAATTGTCTACCACGGCAAGCAAAAGTTTATATTAAGTGTGTAGTTGCTTTCTTTTTTCGTTTACATTCAAACATAATAAGTTTTAAATTTTAAGCTTTTACCTTTTGCCAACCATCGTCAACAACTATCAACTTAATTACGGTCTCGGTTTTTTTTTCCGGTTTAATATAACGACCTTAAGCGTACATCGAGGTAGAGAAAAACATCAACATAAATAAGCATGTATGGACATAACTCTCATGCAACGTCATACGAACTGACCATGATGGTTCTAAATGACGCACAATGTCAACATACATATGTTAATACCTATTATGTGTACGCATATACGTATTTATCTTTTCACATATGTACATATAAATATATATATAAAATATAACTATATATATATATAAGTTAACATCGTAAAGTAATAAATTATAATATATAATTATAATTGTAATATATGGAATGCATATATACGTATGTATTTATGTAAATATGGGTTTTCGTATACGCTGAACGCGAGCAAAGTGTAAGTCAATACTTATGAAATTTCATGAAATAAAGCTTCGATGTAAGCCAAACATTTCATCTAATGCTAATTTAAGCTTTTCAAGTGCTACTCTGATATATTTACTGCGATCTACACGGGTGGTATCGGTTATAAGTTTTACTTTTTCATAGCTGTTACAACACATTAATTATAGATTTCAGTCATTGTTATTGGATTGCATTGCCGTGCACCACAGAGCTGTTATGTCATTGTTTGTAATGTAAAAAGAACAGAGCAAACGAACGTACTTTCGCTATAAACACATTTCGTCTCTTCCTAGCTTTTTATATCAACAACGCATAGAAAACTGCATTCATTTTCGGAAAACCAGACTGCACTCCTTCTATCCACCGTCTTGCTTCTTATTCACGCCAAATGAGCTGTTGCCTTGCTCTATAGACATTGAAGGCAAGGAAAGGGTTAGCTAACAGAAGAGCCCAAGGGACCACGATAGGTTCGGAATCGTTCTTGCGCGTACCAAGAACGCACAATAGTACGTTTTTATCACAGTGGACACAGAAAAAAATAGAGTTGTTATTGAAAGCCAAGCACAGGACAACGGAAAGCGAAGAGGGTTACAAAATTTGCCCGTACATCATATAAGTTACTAGAATAAAGAAGGAATGGTGTACAACTGGTCACCGGCCTCTACACGGGTCATAATTGACTAAAATCTAAAATGAAAGACGTAGGCATAGCTGATACCGTTTCAAGCAGATCATGCCGAGCGATGGGTCCCATCACACCATATGCTAATGCGAGGCCGACTGCAGAATCAATCATCAAGTGTTTGGCAAATATTTCATAACGCCAGAACCAAAGAAAAAGGTGCCGGGATTTATGTAAATACTATAACGGGGGAGCGAATACAATAGATCTTCTAGGTCCGATAAGGTTTTCTCACGCCATAATAATAACAATAATCTTACTTCTCAAGTGCAGATAGAACGAAGGATTGGATGGGATCATTAAACGGACGTTTTCGATGCGTTCTGTAACAAATCGAAATTACTTATCTACAGGTCTCATATGCATTTTTGCTTCGCCTTCTTTAATGTGGTACCCCTTTGGCATTTTATTTTAAAACTTTTTTCAGTTTGATTTTTGTATCACTTTTTGTGCTGTGGAATTTGGTGAATGTTATATTGCGTCCTGTCGTGGTCACTCTTTGTAAGTGAGTTTGGTTGTTCCGTTTATTAAAAAATTTCATTAAAATCTTACTTTTTTAAAAAGTATTTTGACAGAACCCTTATTACAAGGCTAAGTAACGTACGTTAAATTAAGCTGAAAAGTCGTATGCGACGCCGTTTGCTCTATCAAATGCAAATATTTATTTTGAACCAGTCTGAATAGTAAAATCAATTTGGGCATCTCCGTCTTTCTCAAAAGAAACAACTCTTCTTGGGTTACGTTTGAAACTCACTGAAACTTGTTCGTGATCCCGCCTATACTTCGAGCCGGTTCAAATGCAAGTAGAAAAAAAGTTTTTAACTGTTCATTTCTCTAAACTGAGTTTTAAATTTTTTTCAAATAAGATCTGCAAAAGAAATTTGAAAATCTTATTCAAATTGGCACAACAATGAACCCTTTAATTGCTTTAAAAGCTTCTCTAAAGAAAGCAGATTTCACATAAAAAATATATTTAAAATATATATGGTTATACGAATACTATGCCCCATAAATAGATTTACATTGAATCACAGGATGCGTAGCTAAGGCGATATATATAAGAAAATTGCAGGAATTATTTAGTTCTTACTTAGTCCGTTCTACGCTTTACACAATCCGAAAATTTTAATCACAGCACTAACTGTATACAGGTACATTCTTCATACTCGTTGCATTGTTTATCTGCTCTTGGGTCTGTCATTTATAACCGAACTTTTGAAGATGAAATGTAGAAAAATTTATGATCAATGATTCTGACTACGTCAAATATATCTGATCATCTGTACGTCTTTTGAATTAAGGTCAAAAATAAAGATAATCCCTCTTCGTATACTTCTACAATTGCTGCAAAACTAAAGAAAAAACAAAAAAAAATTTCCTCTAACGTAACATCCACAGCGTGCTTTGAAATAAAAAGCAAGTCTGCTAGGATGACTAATAAATACCCTACACAGTTTCGTCTCCTATCTTTGTCAATAACTGCCAGAACAGATACCTGGTGACTTATTTTTCTTAAAAATTCGCGTATTGATGCAAATCATTGGCTGTAGTTTTCGAGTCAAGATGTAAATTTATCGGCTTTTGTTGAGAGCAATGGCGATGGTTCAACTATTTTATTAGATCTTATAAACTGACTCCCCATTTTCTTTACTTTGCATGGATGCACGCGTTTAAAACTTTCAGAAAGCTTCGAATTTTTATATATATTTATATTTAAATATCGTAATAGTAATCTTTAGAACAAAATATATGTAAATTTTGATCATTACGGTAATAATAGTTAACACCAAATTAACCAAAATTTGTCTTTAACTAAAACTAAGCGCTCTCATTGAAGACTTTTGTCCCTTAAAAGAAGCCGGACAAAATGCGGGTTAATATTTGAATATATTTACTAAGGAAATTCACAGTATGAATATTATGTATATATGTAAAAATGTTCGCATACTAAAGAGACTTATAATGAAAAACGCGAACGATAATTTATTTAAAGAAAGAAAGAAAGAAAGAAAGAAAGAAAAGAAAGATATGAAAAGAAGTCTTTGTCATCTTTTTAATAAATCAAAATGTAAAGAACGTATATACGTACAGTAAAATTATTTTTGTAAATAAAGGAAAAATCTATGCCAAAGTTCTTTTATTGTTGCCATTGTTGCATACCAAAAAAAACATTGCAATAATCTACGTGCGTACATAATAACACATTTTAAGGAAAAATTAAGTTATTTTTTTCTCTCTCTCGCTCTTTGTTATACTTTAACAAAGAAGTATGCCAGAAATTTAACATAATAATAATGATAAATATATAAATGGTTACCTATCATTAATAAAGCTGCTGTTAGATGAGAATTGGGCGGGCCGGCAACACCAGTGAAGCCCACACCGGCGCCGGCTAAAGCACAGGCGACACCACCCAAAGCAACAACAGCTATTAAGGCACGTAACGGAGGACCAGCAAACCATTGACCGCAACAGCCTTTGCCGGAACGCTCCGAAGGTGATCTGAAAAGAAACAATGCAAAAAGACAGAAAATTTGTTAAATTTTCAAAAGATATAAACAATACTTAAAAGAACGCTTCACTCTGACTACTTCTGCGTGTGTGTAAAAGATTCTACAGAGAAAAACTAAATGATTGTTAGCTTAACAACTTGCATGTATTCCTAGAAAAATCTTTATTTACAAAAAAAACAAAACAGTAAATAAAGATAGAAAGACAACTTTCGTTTCTAAAGGTCCCTTAAATGCTTTGTTGGTGAACTCAAGTAACGGGTTAGCACGCATTTTATAAAGAAAAAAACAACAGTTTTTGTTTCTCTATGTGTACTTTTGACAACTTATTTGGGTTTTTTTTTTTTTTTTTTATTAAACAAACTTAGCGCATAAAGAAAGCAGTTTATGTTTTCTTTTGGCATTAAATATAAACTAAGTTAGATTACATCTCAAGTCTTTAAACAAATGGCGTTAAGAGCAAAGCAGCATTCGAGATCGAGAAGTGGTAATGAAAATTTTATAACAAAGCATCCATTCACATTTACATTAACCTACATTCTCAATCCGATAATCCAAATTGCAATTTAGTATAATTTGCTCTTTAGTAGAATAAAGCAGCTAAAAATACTATAGCATTAAATATCGTACATCATGTTCTTTAATACAGTTACACATATAACGAGTTTTCACAATAATGCAATATAAAGTAGCTTCTATAAGAAATATTTGAATTTGTTTAGTTTGTTTGAAAGGTATTTTCATTAGATTAATGAGATGTGCCCAAAAATATTTTACGTTTTTTAATATGGACGGAGTTGGCTTTCAAATCCAACTATATCTTGATTTTAATTATTTAACAGAACTCTGTTAGGCGTTTACAGAGTTTGGTTAACAGATATGGTAGGTCTCTTTGCTAGTTAAATTCGAATTTACCTTCACACCCTTAGCAAAATATCATTAAGAAAAGACTAAAAGATTATAGTGGTGTCAGGTCTAGTATTATATAATCTGCATCACTTTGCTTAACAGAATTGTTCATTGACACACCAAGAGTTGGACTTTTTTCCCATAGTTTTCATGGGAATCTTTATAAAGGAAGTGATCCGAAAAATAGAGCTATGTGTTCCAAACTTAAGAACGTCGGGATATCTCAATCACTATTCCGGACAAATTTTTAATATATTTTATACCTTTTAACTACGCAAAGCCTAACTTTTAGTAAAAAAGTTTCTTTGGGATGGATTCAAATTATGACTCTAACCTGTCTATGTTTTCTAAATTCATTTAACATGTCAGCATTCAAAATTTTAAAGACTTTTACCCAGAAACTGTAAAAGTTACAAATGGTTTTCATATAAAGATTGTTGTTTAAAATGGATCCTATCCAACTCAACTTCAGTATTGTTTGTCCTTTGTCCGGAATACGCTAGTGCAAACGAAATATCACGAAAACTGCGGTTTGTACGGTGAAAGCAAAATTTAAATGCACAAACACTAGAGAACTAGAAATATAGGCATATTTATATCTATTCAAAAAATGGCTCTCAGCCGATCCGTGTAACAAAAGTTAAGCCTAGCTCAGACACGAACCATTTGGTTGCTACATTTATATACATACATTTTACATTCGTCTCAAAAGAAGAAAACGTTGTCTAATCGCAATATTCGGTCAATATTAATGTAACCCGATAAAACTTGTTTACTATTTGAATGGCTTTGGAGCCAGAAAAATCTCTTTTGCTGTTAAAGTTTAGAAGTTTATATTTTCATTTTCTAAAAAGAAATTAATTCCAAGAGACAGTAAAATTCAAGATTTTCTTAAAAGCAGCAATGTAGTTTTATTAAATAATGGTGCTCCTAATCATTTTGGTTCCGTCTCTTCCTGCGTAGGTCTTTTGATTTGTACACCTAATCTTAGAAGACGATGAAATTCGTCTTCATTTACATCCTACTGCCTATACCGCTGTTCCAAAATATGTTAAATCCTTTTTCCTGACAATCACACCGAGATGTTGAACGCCGAAAACAGATTAATTCCATTAAAGGAATTACCGATACTCTAAGTTCGGGCTATACACCCTCAGTCTAGTGCGACTTCCAAATTTGTACTTCAAGAAAAAAGAACAATCCGCCAATTAATCTTAATTCCTACACTTATATTGCCTTAGTGTCCACCCTTAAAAAAATGTTCTAGAAAGTGTTATAGATACGTCTAGAATGGCATCTCGAGTCCAAACATATCCTAAGCGGTCTTCAATTTGGTATTAGCCGTTGCAGGTCTGCCCAATACATCGTTGTCACTTTGTGGCCAGCAGTGTACTCAGGGTTTGCTAAGAACCACATTCTCGTCGCTTGCTATCTGGACATAATTTCAGCGGTTGATTCTGTCAACAATCACATCTCAAGATTTATTCTTCTCTCTTTGAATCTCCCTACCAAATTCTGCAAATTACTATGTGACCTCTTTCTCTATAGGAACATGTTAATTAATAACGACGCTGCTGTTAAGGGTGTGAAGTTATATTTAAATATAACTAGCAAAGACACAAACTA